CAATAGAAATACACACCATTTGAACAGAATTCATAATCTTTGCTGAAAGGAAGAATAAGAGAAGAGTTAAGTTTGTCTGTAGTTTCATTCATGTCTTCATCTACATCATGTATTAAATGCTTCATTTTATCTCCATTAAAAAATGCAAGTCAGAAATATTCAGAAACATAGCACCGAGTCTAACTGACAAGAGTATAAAGATTATACTATGAACATGTTATGATGAAACCAACCAAAATTCAAGAAAGTCAGTATACTTATGAATATCCAAGAACACTGGGTAGAGTATGTAGGAGGTGAGAAAGCTATTGAAAATCAGACAGGTTCGAAGTATTCCAGCAGGAAACAATATTATTGAAGAACTTTTAATGTTTTGAGATATAATGATGAAACAAAGAAGCAAGATAGTTTCCTGTTGCTGTGTATGTGAACCTAGACACAGGAGATGACATGAAAGTTTTAACACAAAGCTTCAAACGGTAGTGAGAAACAACTGACTGCGGAAGGGCATCCATTACCTTCAGAAGTTACCATAGCAAAATTTTTGAAACAAACTCAATAGATTTTAAAGTCATCTGCAAAGAAGTCAGGATTTACATTTAATGAAGCAGATGTATATTCGAATGAAAACTTCAAAGCTATTGCATGGTTAGATAATGACGATTGCTTTAAGAAAATCTTTAAATTCAGTGGACTCAAAGATGTCAATAGATGACCTTCGTGGAATGTTACCATCGACGTTTACAGTAGAAGGTTCAGCAGGATTGCTTACAAGATTGTCAATTGGTGGTATTTGGTCTCGTGAGAACATTGTTATAAAATCCAGTATAAGTGAATTTGCTGAAGAATCTATATTATGTCTTTCAAACTATATGTATTCGCCGCCAAGCATTATAGTATAACAAACTTTGTCAGTAAGTTTAACATAAGACTTGTCGAACCTTCTTCAATGAAAGATGTTGTGCTACCTAAAGATGGAAAGGATGGACTCATTATTGAGATGATTTTAATAGCATATTAAATGAGCTTGTTCTTGAAGGTCATTCATGATGAAATAACTGTTGTAGAAGATGTTAGCAATTGTTCAGACATTTTGAAGCGTATAGATGATATAAGAAATAAGTTAGATAGACCGCAAAGCGGTGAGGGCGAAGCCCGTGAGAACGCTTATGTTTCATTGACTTTCTCCAGTAACGAGAACTTTTATGAGATAATATTGAAGAGAGATGATTTTAATATGGGGTAAATGGTAGCTTGGGCAGCTTTAGGCGCAATGGGAACAAAAGCATTAGCATTTGGAGCAAAAGCACTTGGAGCTTATGACGCAGTAAATAAAATGAGTGGAGAAGGGTTCAAAGACATTAGATGCAAATAAAGGAAAGATTGGAGGCTGGGTTGCAAAGAAGTTAAGATTAAATAAAATGGGGCTCATAAATAAAGCATCCAATTTGGTTGCGACTGAGTCAGAAAATGCTTTAGGAAAGGACGATGAGTTTGCAAAACACGCAAAAGACTTTAATGACCAGATGAAAGGTGAAACAATGCATTTAAATAGAGTCGATGGAACTAAAGAAAATGTTTCTTCTCCACCAGTAGTTCTTCCGTATGGTCCCTATGGAATGTATGGAAACCCTTACGAAAGACCATTTGACCCATTGACTGGTGGAAGTAACTGGTATCATTACGGCCGAAGAAGAAAGACAGTCAAGTTGGAGACAGACGTGAAGAAAGCAACTAAAAAGAAACCAAGGAAGAGAGTTATAAAGCAATGAATTCAACAGGGTGAAAAAAGAGGTGAGATTTCACCACTTCACCTAAATTTATTTTTGTGCTATGTTTTCATACGTGTGAGGGTGGTGATATCATTTATTTTTAAGTTTATTTTTATATAAATGACAGAACAAAAGCAACTCATACAAATCGAAAAATATAACAAACATACATTTAAACATTTATTCTTCCTTCCTGAGCATAACATGTTCTTTCAAATACATCCGAGACCAGTTGACTTTTCATTGACTGTGTATAAAGATAGAAATAGTTATATCATATAAACCATACGATGACGAAGGTAAGTTATGTAAATTGTACGTTAAGAAGTTAGAGAAAGTTTATGGCTTCAAGTATGACTACAATAGGGTTAACACTGATGATGAAGATATTGAGGAAAATTTATGAGAACATTAGTGAAGTCGTTAGTGAGAACGATAGTGAGAACGTTTATTTTTTACATTAGTGAGTTCGTTAGTGAATGGTTGGCGGCTTTGTAAATATTTAAGGTTAAGTTAGTGTTGTCGTTTGTGTTGTAAAATATACGTTAACGGTTTTGTAAAGTGTCAAATTCACATATAATGGGTACGGTGGAACGCAGTGCAACAGTACCCAACTAACCCATACTAACTGATAATCCGTGAATTTGGACTTTAATCTTTTGGCAATGCCAACATCAAATACTTGTAAAATGTGTGTTGTATGTGCGGGAAGAACAATTAATTTGATGTTGGCACTTGCCAAAAGGAACAATGCCAGAGGATTCTCGCGGCTGGAGTGTCCATCACACACAATGAGAGCAGGCTTGTCACGTATCTTCTGGCATTCTCTGGCGTTCAAAGTTAAGCCACTCGATGAAGAAAATGCAATACAATAAGAATACAACTTCTGTTCACCCAGCCTTTTGGCGTAGAAGTAAACCAACAATGTCTTTCGCGCTGGAATACTTTCAGTTTCTCTAGGTAGTTCTGCAATACATGGGAGAACAAAGAGAGTGGGACAGATTTGCCTGTCATTGAGCATCCGCATAAAGCTGTAATGTGCGGAAAGTTTGGAATTCCTTTGGCGATCATATGCTCTATCTCCTCAGGTAATGCAACTTTCTTCTTCTTAAATTTGTTTATGAATGTTTCATCGATACTAAAAATCAACTCCTCTGGAGTACTTTCGATTGTTCACGATGTTTATCGTAGAATTCTTCGATAATTCTTGGTTCACACGCCATGTATCTTGATTCTTCAATCTCTTGGCATGCATTAAGCTTGCAATGCAATTGCTGTAAAATATGGTTAACATAAGGTCTCGATACATCATCACCACCAGAGTATTGAATAACTTCTTCTGCAAGAGTAGGACAATTAATCTCAAGAAGGAATCTGTAACCATAATCTCTTCTGAGCTCTTTCAACTTGAACGCCTCGTCAATAATGTCAGCTGCTTCTAGAGCTTCACCTTTGTAAGCAGAATCTTCGATAATTTCTTTTAAAGTGAGCTGATCACGCTCGCATAGGTATGGATCTGCACCGCCATGATCCCTTTTTCCCAGTATAGACCTAATGCAGCTCTTTTAAGTGCAGTAGCAATGAGATTGGATGTTAAAGTTCCGAGATCTGGGTATTCTTCCTCCCATGCAAGCTTAGTTTGACTATATGTCATACCTTCGGCGCGACAATTGATGATAAACTTTTGTTGTCTACCAAGAAATTCGACTGTGAGAAATTCCATTTTTAATTTTAAACGAGCACTTGAGCCACGTTTTATCTGACTTCACCAGCCAAAAAGCCCCTGTACTAAGTGTCATGTTTTTGTTTATTTTAAAGTTTCTGCCATGTAATGGTTTACATTGTAAATTTTTTGAATACTTTACATCACCATAAAATGGCAGTACAAGGCTAGTTTATCGGTACAAGGCTCTTGAAATGACTTTAAAATATTATTTTACGGCATTGCCCGTCACTTTTTTCGGTACAAGGCTAATATCACGGTATAACAGAATTTTTGAGATTGGTTTTTCGGTTTTATGTTCGTAACTCCAAAAAATGATCCATAATGGTATTGTGATAAATTTTGGATCATTGATTTCCTATTGAAAAATTGGTTCGTCAGATTTTTGTAATAATTGAATTGGATCATGATCGAAAAAGAATACATTTAATACTAAATAGTAGAATCCGCATCAGATTGAAAGAAGTTTGGTCAGATGTATACATTGGAAAACTCGATCATTCTAACAAGCATCTAACCCTTAATAAATGTTATTGTTTATTTTTTGAATACTATTGAGGTTTTGAAAAGCCAAATAAGATGACGCGAATTTGCATAACGGAAAATTTCGGCATTATTTTAATTTAAAAAGGCTTGATGAAATCATATCAGTCTTCATTGTTCTAATTATATCAAAATTTTTTCAATATGAATATTTGTTTAGCTTCTTCTCAAAATGTAGCTTCGATCTGAATGTCATATGAATGAGTTATGATCATGACACATCTTTGATGGTTATCCATTCGATTGAGCAGCACCATTTCATGCAATAAGCATATTATTACAAATATTGGATTCATATTTGCAAGTAATATTCTGCATTTTGCTATGCCATTGTTGGGCATGTGAGCTAAATAAAATATGCTTTATGCAATTAGAAACAAATATATTTTTATTGTTTAATAATTATCAACAATTAGAAAGAGATATTGATAAAATCTAAGCAGACAAATCATTAAATTATTGATGTATATCCCCTGAGAGATTCTTTTTGATTTGATTTATTTTTTATTTTATTTGCCGTTATAAATTCAAATTTTGAGACAATTAAAATATTTATACGGAATCAATTTTCAATATTTAAATGGGCTACCAAGAATAAAGATTTTTGCTGTCATTTTGCGTCATAAGCTATGTTGCATGCTTGTATTAATATACTTTTCATTTTAACAGAGTTAATCATTTTTCTGATTCATTCTTGATGAACAATCGTATTTCGGGTTATTTTCACATCATTTTTCTGATGAATGCATAATGAGGAATATTTCTATTAATTTATCAAAGACAATAAGAATTGCGATAATTTTCTAAGGTTATATTCCACTTTTTCTGAACGAACAAATTTTTCTGTTTGATTGTTAGAAAAAAATACAGGTTCGGAATTCTTTGATAAAATTTTATTAGCCATTAATAATAGAGCATAATCCTTTGAACATGGTTTAAATTTTGTCACCTTTTCATTAATTATGAAGGTTTCAACAGAAGTAAAATTAGGAAAGCACTCACGCTTTGCTCAACAGCAGCTTCCAGCATGGAGGCCAATGATTACACCAGTTATTGCTATGATTTCTTTTGCAATTATCGCTATTTTTGCTTTTGCAGTAGGAATCGTATGTTTAATCGCAAATAATAAACTTGTCAGCGTCGAGAAGCGTTATGATGATATATGCGAGCTCAACTCAACTTGCAATGTTACACTCAATATTCCGAAGGAAATGTCAGGAGATATTTATTTGAAGTACAAATTAACACGTTTTTATCAGAACCATAGAAGATTCATGGAATCTCGCAGTGATAGCCAGTTGAAAGGTGAATATGTCGATTTCAGTGGAATGTCAAATGATTGCTACAAATCTCGTTCAATTAATGATTCCGAAAATGCAGAAAACTGGATTTTACCTTGTGGTTTATCCGCGCTTTCCGTTTTTAACGATACTTTTAGAGTTGCTAGTGATAATGTTCAAATGAAAGAAGATGGCATCGCATGGTCAACCGATCTTAAATGGCTCTACAAGCCACTCAACTCATCATATAAAACCGGTGATAAATGGCTCGAAAATAATACACTTTTCCCAGGAGGCCAAACTAACGAGCATTTCATTGTTTGGATGAGAGTTGCTGCTCTTCCAACCTTCTCAAAGTTATATTCATACTGCAAAGACTGTAAAATCCCTGCTGGAGACGTTACAATTGAAATATTAAATAATTACCCGACATCATCATTTAGTGGCACTAAATCAGTAGTCTTATCAACAGAGTCATGGATTGGACCAAAGAATAACTTCCTTGGCATTGCATATATTGTTGTTGGATGTTTATGTGTTGTTGCAATCATAACTCTATTCATTTTGCATGTTACAAGGCCTAGGAAGCTTGGTGATCCAAGACTCGTTCTTGAACTTATTAATAAGAGAGAAGAAGAATTTTCTCAACAGACAGAACAGTAAAATTTGTTTTCTATTTATTTCTTAATTAGCCAAATAATCCATTTTTATTTCTATTTTCCAGAGTTTTTCGTAAAATCGAGAAAAAGAAATCGAGCGGCCAAATGCAAAATACATGTGAATCCAAAAATGTCTTTTGGAAAAGAATCAAATGGTAAAAGAAACGCGAGTTTTTTGAAGAAATAAGAATGCGGCCATTTAATAATTTGATGAATTTTTGATTAAAAATGTTTGAAACAATTTCATTATAATTTGTATTTGAACATTAAATATCGTTTTAACGAAATTCTATTTATTCTTTCTTTGGCTGTGGTTCATTTGGAGCAGCAGTTGAAGCCTTAGCCTTTCTGGCAGAGCGTTTATATCTTCCTGGGCCCCAACGTCTAGATGGGAAGCGTCTAATGAGTGGGCGAGCAATCTTTACTATTAAGGTTGCGCCGCCAAGCTCGAACTTCCTGTGGTTATTAAGAATATCTGTTAACATTTCTGGTGTTTCAAATTCTATGAAGCAGAAGCGCTGCTTTGTTGTTCTGGATGTTTTCATGCGGAAGTCTGTGATCTTGTAGTCCTTGAACTGAGCCTTGATTGTCTCCTCTGTAGCCTGATCTGGTAATCTGTTAAGGAAAGCTGTCTTAGATTTCCTCTTTTCCTTGGCTGGAACTACTCTGATCTTGCGACCATCGATTTCGATTGGTTCCTTGTTGTCAACAGCAGCCTTGAAACCGGCCTCTGTTTCGTATTCAACAAAGCCGAAGCCACGAGAACGTTTTTCGCCACGGAAAACTGTTGTGATAATGCGGGCTGTCTTGACTTGGCCGAACTTTGTGAAGAAATTGCCCATTGTAGCTGTTTCTGTGGAGTAGCTGAGGTTGCCAACGTATATGGTCGTTGATACAGACATTGAACAAAAATGAAATAAAAAAAGAATTGAAAGACTTCTGACCGTATCTCACTTCACCAGCCACTTTGAGTGGATTATAAATATATAGTATATATGTTTAATAAATTTAATAAATTTAATTATGACATCGTTTTTTTTTTACTAAATTTTTCACGTATTAATTTCATGTCTTATGATAATATTGATTAAAAATTCTTATGATATGTTTATTCAATTTTTAAGAAATTCCAAACGGAATCATAACGATAAAAACGCTTGACTAGTCAAAGCTTTGCTCATTTGTCATGAATTTCAAATCGAAATGAAAACTTGATGTATAAACAATTTTGATTTTTCGGCAAAAAATTTCCATCAAAATATTTTTCAATAATTAAGAAATGTACAATCTTTTATTCACCAATAATTTGCAATCTTATTTTTTTATTTTTTTTTTTATAGTCGGAGAAAATTTCATTTGGCCAAATGTGACGACTTTCATATGACAAATAACTTGTGATTTGTGAAATAGCATGCGCATATATCATTTATTAGAGGTAAAGCAGCTTTGAATTAATCGCAGCAATCCATTAGAGTGATTGTTCCTCAATTGTTACTTCCATACATTAAACACAGAGTGTTTCATATCTAATCAGTATGATGATGGATTTGTTCCTATATTTCCTATAGAAATTTTTGAAAATATATATAATCAAATTTAATAATTAACAAATAACAAAACAACAAATTCGTTTGAATGCTTGAAATTCTTGCAGCTTAAAGTTTCGACCTCTTCTTGAGAATAAACATAGAATACTGGCTTGGAGTAAAAATCATAGGCTTTGAGTGTCTATGGAGGAATGCCTGAGGATCTTTGATGCTCAACTTAACAGAAGTCTGGAATTCACTTCTGCTTTTATAAACTGTGGATTGATTAATTTTGGGCAAAGCCAATGTTGAATCGGATTGATCTTCTTCAATAAGAGTGTATAGCTCTGCTGCACTTAATCGTCCTTCGGGGCTAACGACTAAACATGCTCTTAATAGTTTATCTAAAATTGGAACGTTGACTTGAGGCATTGGAATCGAGTTCTGCTTAATAAGGGACATTAATTTCATCTCGTTCATCTCAGGCCATGGAAAACAAGCTGTTTTCATAACAAAAATTGTTACTCCCAAACACCAGATATCCGATAACTTTGGATTATATGTCTGCGAGAAATATACTTCTGGAGCAATATACAAATGAGATCCGACAACTGTCTTATGAGTAGAATTTGTAAGTGCGCAAACTCCGAAATCAATAAGCTTAAGATTGAATTTTTCGTCAAGAACTATGTTCTCTGGCTTGAGATCTCTGTGAGCAATTCCCTTCGAATGTAAATAAACCAGTGCAGATAAAATTTGTTTGAGCATTTCGGTGATTTCTGTTGGGTGTAAGCCGTTTTTGCTTGTGATATAGTCTAACAAGTCTCCATTCGGACAATATTCCATAACAACAATGATTATGTCCTCTAAATAAACAACTTCATAGATTTGGGCGATATTTGGGTGATTAAGGCTTTGGAGTACTCTGAGTTCTTTTTCTAATTGATAGAAATATCCGGCTTCTGTAATACCTTTTCGACTGACAACTTTACAAGCAACAACTTGATTTGTTTTATTGTCAATCGCTTGAGCTACAACGGAATAGCTACCTTTTCCAATGAGCTTTTGTGTGGTGTAATGACTAAATGTTTCTGGAATTCTAACTTGAAAGTTATGAAGTTCGGTGTCAATCAGCATTTTTGACCTATTTGAATTAATTGAAAAGATATTTTTCAAAGATTGTCGGAATATATAAATAATTATAAGTTATCTGAGATCATTGTTAAATGTAAAATTGAGAAGAAACCCGAATAACGATTGCTTTTATCGAAATGTTTTTATTAATACTCTTACTTCAAATTTAGGAAAATAATTTTTAAATGATGATATTTGTTAATTGAATATAAATTTACTGTTTGAATTGAAATGTAAATGAATAATTTGTAAGATTTCATCCCATTATGGATACAGGTTTTAAAACATGCAAAATAAGCTTTTCAGAAGGCTTATTAAATTCTTTCAATTTTCTCTTCGAAAATTATTTTTAAGATATTTTATATAAAAGATTAAATGGAATATAACAATCGAGAAATTTTTTGCAAAAATGAATTGAATTTTTCAAAGATTTTAAAATTGAATGTGATCTTTCAAAAATGATTTTCAATAATAGCAGAATAGAATTTTTTACAGTTTGTATTTATCTTTGATTGTGCTAACTAAGCATAATGGCAAAATTTTTCAATAATTGATTCCATCTCGAATACCCTATATTTCCAACTCTTGGAAAATTTTCATGACCCTACCCTATGGCATTCCAAACGGGAACCGCGGTTGGTTACCATGGATTTCCGTCACCGGTCACATTTTAAAGATTTTTAAAGCCTTATAAAAATATGCTTTGTAAATCATTTTTTGTAAATCGGCAAAAATTTGGTAATTTTCTTCAACTAATAAATCTGCGAATAGCATTTATAATACAAGAACAATCTTTTAAAATGCGTTTGATTCATTTTTGTATAATTTCATATAGGCACATATATTCTTCCGGGACTTTCCGTGATTTTACCGTAAAATCATTAGTTTACACCAATTTTTCCGTATTTTGAATAGTTTACTGCACTTTTTCCGTAAAATTGAGTTACGGGAATCCGCAAAATTTCCGGACCTCATTTTTCATAGAATATAATAATAATATTTGATAAAAAGATATATTATTTATATTTTTGATTTTTGAATTACGGAAAAAGTGAATTGATAACTTGATTTTTTTATATGGTTAATTTTTCAAATGATATTATGAAGATCTAAAATATTAAAAGTAAAAAATTGAATTACGGAAAAAGTGAGGTCAAAAGTGAAATAAATTTGCAGAACAATTTTCATTGAAATAAGACATTGAGTATCACACTTTAGTGAATCAACATCTATAAGAATGAAGTGTTTTGAAGCTGAAATAATATTGAATAGAAATTAATTTTTTCTGAAATTTTGAATGAAATTATGGGAAATAAAAAAATTACTAAATATTGTATTCATACAAATATATTATTTTAAAGGAAAAATAGATGCTGATAGAAACGATGAAAAATTTTGAAAACTTTACAATTAATTTATGTTCGTTAACCACAGAGCTTGCAATCCAAAGCTCACGTTAGACTACAAGAGTCATGAAGTCTCATACTAAGGGATATCCAACATATATTTTAATAATCTAATGTTTGTGACAAATATTCAACATAAAATTAAGTTTTCGTTTCGTTACAAGGCATTCATACTTTGGAGATATCATATTTAATGTACAGAAAAGTTAATATTAAACAATACATGCTAAAGAATTAATAAATAAGATAATAAAATAAATTTATACGTAATTACTTTCATTTAATATGCTTTATGCTGTATAATATTGATTAAGAGGCATTAAAAGGTTCCATAGTCTGCTTTTATAGGCAAGATTTTTGATAAAAATTTAAAATTTTGAAAAATGATGAGAAAAGGAAAAAAAAGGTAAATGAGAGCAAGAGGAGGGAAAAAAAAGAAAAAGAAAAGAAAGGGAAGGGAAAAATAAAAGAAAGAAGGACATATAAAAATTTAGATGCGCATTCTTAATGCCGAGGCGGCTTGCCGCCGAGGCGCGATTTTTTTAGGCCTCTACGGTAACCCGGCAATGTTTTTTTAAATCTTGTACAGCCCTACCCTACCCAGGGTCCTAAAATGGGTATTTTCCTCACACAGACACCGTGGTTTTTTGAGCCGGGAAATAAATAGCGCAGACAGTTTCTACATATAGAGACATGCTTATACTTAGAGTTTGACGGGAATCTAAAGTGATTTTTTTCTGCATCGCGAAATCTAATGCAATCTCAAAATCATGAAGAAACTGCGAATCGGAGCGCAATTTTTTAATATGTTAATATATAAAGGTACCCCTACTACTGCAAATGCTTCAAATGAAAATCTAAGAAATCAGATTAATTTGATCACATTAGTATAGTATTGGTCAAACCAAAAACTCATATGTTGATATATAGCCTATGGATATTCATATTATCTACTTTTCATTGAATTACATAAGATTTAATAATCTCATAAATATTCTTTTTAATTTTCCGAATTCCGTGTGCATTTAGATTGCCCATACCTGTATATAATAATTCTAGAATGGTTTGGTTAGATATTAAGTTTTTTAGATTAATATTTTAACATTTTGATAAAACAAGCATTTGTTCCATTTTAGAATCGCCATTGAACTCTGGTTTGACTAACATGATGTTGTATGATCAAATAAATTCTAACTTCATGAGATAAATTTTGAAATTAGAAATTGCGATATCTGACTCAAATATTTATATGAACACATTTAACATTCAATGATAAACTAAAGTACTATACAGCAGATTCGATTTGGCTTATATTTTATATAATCAACTAATAATCCTATAAAATTGTGCTATTCACGTTGCTCAAAGATGTATTGAACATTCACTACTTGTGTATTGATAAAATTAGATATAGATTCTAATGTAAATCGATATTTTGAAAATTCATATATATTTTGTCTTGGTTTGGCATTTGATCGTGTTGAAACCGGAATTGCAATATATATCATCTAAATATATAACTATCAAAATATGAGCTATAGATTTTTAAATTATTCTCCTGAATATGAGTGACTAACATAATTATATTGAATTGAGTAGTAAGAATCTTAAATATTAGAATCTGACGATAATTTATTATAACTGTATAAAGGAACAAGACTATAAATGATGATGAAAATAAAGATTAAATTTAAATCTGAAAATTTGAAAACATTAAGTGTATTGTGCACTCTTGTCGGTCACAGTGTCTCATTCCGGGAGACATTGTCACTGCATGTCTCCCAGAATGATATCAAGTTCCCCATTCATAACTTGAATGCGGAACTTTGACCGACAAGAGTGTATTGTGCACTCTTGTCGGTTGAAAGTTCTGCAATCAGAAGAAGATTGTTGAACAATCCGCCATTCCAGGAGGCATGAGCTTGTTATGTCTCCTGGGATCACAGATTGCAACCTAAAAGATGTGCATATGCACCTCTTGTCGGTTGAAAGTTCTGCAATCAGAAGAAGATTGTTGAACAATCCGCCATTCCAGGAGGCATGAGCTTATTATGTCTCCTGAAATGGCACATATTTGATAATTCATGGAGCAGAACTTTGCACGCAATCAGACAAAAGATTGCGACAGAGTAACTGGGAAGACAGCAAATTGAAGCGATAAGCTGCTTGGGTGCTGTCTCCCAGATGCATCTGTCGGGCAAAGTCTCAAAGGAGCAGAACTTTGCACGCAATCAGACAAAAGATTGCGACAGAGTAACTGGGAAGACAGCAAATTGAAGCGATAAGCTGCTTGGGTGCTGTCTCCCAGATGCATCTGTCGGGCAAAGTCTCAAAGGAGCAGAACTTTGCACGCAATCAGACAAAAGATTGCGACAGAGTAACTGGGAAGACAGCAACTTGAAGCGAAGTTTTGTTTTCGAGTCTTTGGTTAAGAAATCTTAACAAAAAAACAAAGAAAAAATCAGATAAAGTTGTCAATAACTTCATCAGTTAATGCTCACCTATGGGAGGTGTTTTGCGGGAGCTGGGGGTATCTTGGTGAGTACTCAGGAGGCCAAGAAGGGCACCCCAACCGACATTATCCTGATGAATTCAGTTGTCAACCATTCTGAAAACCGCCGAAACCGTCGTGTGTAGAGAAATTGTTTAAATTTATTTTTTTCAGATTTAAATAAAAATAAGAAATGTTTACTATTATGGATTTTGAAATTTTTTAAATTAAGAGTAGGAGATGAGACAAATTTAAATTTTTAAGAAATATTTGGAAGGGCGTAAGATACGCCAACTTAAATATATTATCAAATGAGAGAAAATCACTCAACAAAAAAACAATTCTTTCAAAAAGTTTGACATTGATCTTTCTAATACATATTTTTGGAAGGGCGTAAGATACGCCAACTTAAAAATATTATCAAATGAGAGAAAATCACTCAACAAAAAAACAATTCTTTCAAAAAGTTTAAAATTGATCTTTCTAATACATATCCTATGGAAGGAGTTTACATTCTCAAAATAAAAACCAGTTCAAAATCTTATTATTCCTTGAATAAAAATCATTTAATTTCAAATCCATTCCAAATCCTTAAATCTGTATTAAAATCATTTTGCCAACAACTAACAATACAAATTACATTTCCATATATCTTCTTGTCCATTTTAATTTTTTATCTCATTTTATTTAATTTTATTTAAAGCATATAGACATCGAGATCCTTTACACATAGTTATATAAAAGTCAAATACATAATAAATTCTTAATTCTAGAGATATCTCAAAATCTCATTTTTTTAATTTAAAATACCTTTCATTTTTCACAGTACGATCACAACAAACAAGCCATTTACTAATTAACACATATAAGAAAAATATCAAATTACAAAACAACTTTCAATATCATTCGCATCAAATTCTATTTTTTCATAATTATCAACTACATGTTATTATATAATATATGTCGGCGCATATTCCACTCTATACAAGTGTCAGACACACTCACACAAAGCTGTGAGATTCATACCTCTATCAGTAGGACTTCTCAAATCAAGAACACATATGTTTCACTATCGCACATCTGTGTAGGATCTAATTAACCCTTTGGACTGGTACTTCAAAATTTGATAATTTGATAATTTCATGTGATATCATCATTTGCCTTTAAAACAACTGTGCGTTAAACTAGACACGTTTCTCTATCATAATGCAAAATATCAAAGTTTGGGAGATTCCCAAAGTGTCTGAAACTGATCATAAGGGTGAAAAACCGTTTTCCAGAAGTTGGGAACGTAGGGTAATTTCTTTGATTTGTTAATTTACGATTAAAATGAACTATATCACTATTAATGCGATTTAATGAGATAATATTATATACACTAAAGGCTAAATTCCCTATTAAGATTTGTTTCTTTCTGCATTTTGAAGACTTCTTGACAAATTATTTTATTAACTCAATACATTAAGCTCTTGATTAGCTTAATAAGGAAGAAGAAAATTAGGTTCTATAAGCAAACATGAAATATTTTTTCATTCTTGAATATTCAGCTATTTTCTTAGTAGTATGAACATAAAATCAACGATTTCAATTGTGCCATAGAAAAACAATGTAACTTTCAGATTCAAAGGTCAAGAATTTATTCAAATTCTCTTTTGCGAATGTGTAGTATATATTATGTTATCATCGTAGTGGTTCCTTATAATAGTGCCGCTATAGCAGTTAATAAAACCTATTCAAATTCTTGTGATAAAACCCATATGCTAATTAACTACTATTTCATGTAGACTATTAACCAACTAATTATAGGTATAAATATTCCATGATATGAGGTTATGTAAGTGGTTATGAAAGATTATGGTAACCAAAATTTTCTGAATCACAATGTATCTGCTATTGTTCGAATCCTAATTTTCCATGGCTAACATAAGGTATGAACAATAGGCAATCAAAGCAATCGATATAGAAAGGTTTTAAAATATCTTCAATTTGCATTAAATCAGCATTCTAACAATGGTCACCATCACTTGGAGTTTCCCTAGAGTAATCTATATTTGAGCTCTATATACTCAATTTGATAAATTTCCAAATCTTTACATGGAATACATATGATGATATTGATATCTCTGATTTTTCATGCTGTTTGATAAATTGATATAATAATTTGGTATGTTTGTGATTTCAGAATTTTTCTTGAAATTTCGTTAGATGTTTCAAGAAATTCGATATCGTAAGAAACGGCCAATAATAGTTGATATCCCATTTATCGGACCATTCCTAATTGCTGTATTTATTGTTCTGATCACTAAAACATATAATTCAAGTGATAATTCGTTAATTAGCATGCCAAAATATAAAGAATACTTCGAAATTCACAAGCCTATGACTCCACACGAGAAGCCTGTCAATGCATCTTATAAAAAAGATATATATCCAAACAATATTTCCAGAACTTTAGTTACTAAAGAAGTTATTCTTCCGAACATCTATGTTACAAAAACAATAGGTGATGTTGGTAAAGATGCTGTTATTCCATCAGCGAATGCTATTCAAGAATACGCAAAATCCGGAAATGCTTTCCTTGTTCAAATGAAAAACGTATTCGTAAATAACGAAGGCATTGTTTATGCAAACAATGTGTTCTATCCAGGAGACTGTGCTTGTCATTGGAGAGGCTGTATTGATTTCGAAGGAAAACATTTTCAAAAAGAATTCGAGTATACAACTGTTGATAAGGCAATTTGTATTACCCACGAATACGGATGGTTCTTTGCTCATTGGCTTATTGATTTCATGCCAAAATTTGCAATAATTCCTGAAGATATACTTTTATCATCAAAGATCATCATTACAAGTTATGCCGATTTCACTATAAACGGATTGAAGTTCTTAGGAGTGAAACAATCCAATATTATTGCCCCTGTTCCAGATACTGCTGTTTTTTGCCGTACATTGTATACAGTTGAGCCAATTGTATGCACTAAATTCAATGCTTATTTACTTCTCAACCTCCGAAGCCTTATTGTTAAGAAATGCAAACTTGATACAACTCCTGCAACGAAATACGTCTTCTACAATCGTGAAAATACAGATTACAGAAAGTTCGGAAACTACAATGACATTCTCAAGTCAATAAAGAGCTCTTACCCTCAATATAGCTGGCAAAATATTAAAATTTCGGGTGGAATTAAAGACCAAGCAAAGTTGTTCAATTCTATCAAAGTATTTGTTGCAATGCATGGAGCTGCATTTGCAAACACTCTTTTCATGCAACCAAACTCTTCTGTTGCCGAAATAATGGGAGATAGATGGGTAGACAACTACTTGTGGATCTCTGCTTACGCGCAAGTCCACCACGTTGTTTGTAGAGATATGAAAGTCCAGTGGAGAGAATCTGGAAGCAAAAACGTGATTGATACGAAAACCATTCTTCAATTGGTTGATGTAGCTATAAAGAGTATGGAATCAACCCCTCAGCCACCAATGTAATAGATTTATTTGAGGATGTTTTATTGTCGTCTGGAAAAGTGATAAAATTATTATTGTCGTCTAAAAAGGTGACAAATTATTATTGTCGTCTGGAAAAGTGACAAAATTATCATTGTCGTCTAAAAAATAGATTTTTCAAGCATGTTTCGGTACCTAAATAAAGGAAGAACATCAATTCCATCTATGTATATAGTATGCAAACACGCATGATATATGGAGTAGCTCTTTATCTGGCTAAAAATCCTATTATTTGAAAATTCGCATTGTCGTCTAAAACCGCCAGACGACAATAATAATACCCCGATTTATTTGATTTTGTTATAAAGATTTTTTGTATATAGTTTAAAATTCACATTTTTTAATGATTTTCACGATTAAAAGTTAATACTGTCACTCTAATAATGGAATACTAATTAATCAAATCAATTATATCAATCAATAAAATTTTGAAATTTACTTTTAAATCTTCTATACCTCAAGTGATAAATATCAATCATTCATTCCATATATATGATGCTTGCAAAAATTCCAATTTCATATTTATCAAAAACTTAGTAAATAAATAAAAAAAAAGATTGAGTTGAATTTAAAAGCAAGAATAAATTGTCATAGAAGTTTACTCCTCAGCGAGCATATCGTGTTCCTTGAGGTAGTCGTAGATCTGGAGGAGACGTGTGTACTTCTGGATACGTTCTCCGCGAGCTGTTGAACCTGTCTTGATGGACTGAGCACCGATAGCAACAGCGAGATCAGCGATGACGGAGTTGCATGTTTCACCAGAACGGTGGGAAACCATGACACGGTGGCCAGCGTTGAGGATGAGGCGGGCAGCTTCCATACCTTCAGAGATTGTACCGATCTGGTTAACCTTAAGAAGGAGAGCATTGCACCACTTGCCCTCGAGACCCTTCTTGATTGTGATTGGGTTTGTTGTGTAAAGGTCATCACCGACAAGCTGGACGCGTTGGCCAAGGCGGGCGTTGAGCTTTGTCCAGTTCTCGTAATCGAGTTCAGCGAGAGCATCTTCGATGGAAACGATGGCTGGGTGCTTCTTGAGGAGCTCATCGAAGTAGTCTATCATCTGGTCAGCGTTGAGGAACTTGCCAACTTCGACTTCGTAGAGCTTCTTCTCTTCATCGTAGAATTCAGAGGAAGCGACATCCATACCGATCATGATGTCCTTGCCAGCTTCGTAGCCAGCGGCCTTGATAGCCTCTTCGATAACTGTGAGAGCCTCTTCTGGGTCGTTGAGGTTTGGAGCGAAACCACCCTCATCACCGAGGTTCTTAGCGGAGAGACCGTACTTCTTGACAAGGAGGCCACCGAGCTTCTGGTAGACTTCAGCAACCATACGGAGCTGGTCTGGGAATGGGACCTTGCGTGTTGGTGTAACCATGAATTCCTGGAACTTGAGGTTGCCACCAGCGTGCTTGCCACCGTTAAGGATGTTGAAGAATGGGGATGGGAGCTTGAACTTCTTTGGAACCTTGTCGCAGCCACCATAGAAGGCCTTGGCGAGGTACTGGAAGAGTTCGATTTCCTGGACAGCAGCGCCAGCTTCGGCAAGAGCGAAGGATGTAGCTGTGCAAGCATTGCCACCGATGTTCTTCTTAAGAACTGTGCCATCTGTGTCGCAGATCTTCTTGTCGAGGGCTGGGAAGTCGCAGAAGCACATTCCCTTGAGAGCTGGAGAAAGCTTCTCTGTAACGTTCTTGGCAGCCTGCTGTGTGCCCTTGCCACCATAGCGAGCCTTGTCACCATCACGGAGTTCGAGGGCTTCACCAACACCTGTTGAAGCACCAGATGGGGCGGATGAGCGGGCGGCGAGTGTAACACGGCCGAGGTACTTTACGTAGACATCAACCTCGACTGTTGGGTTGCCACGGGAGTCAAGGACTTCACGGCCGACAACTTTCTCGATGACAGCCTTTGGAGCCTTCTTCTTGAGAAGGACGGAGAGGGTGCCGATTGGGTCTTCAGCCTTGGCAGCCTCAGCAATGCATTCTTTAACAATAGCGTCGTGCTCGGCGTTCATTGTTTTTAAAAGTGATTTGACCATCTTCTGTGCAAATTTGAGAGGAGCGATTCACTTTATTTTGAATGAACTCATAGAATAAAATTCGCATATTTCAATGATATGTGGTCGGTTCATAAAGTGAGATCATGAGTTCAGATATGTCATGCAATGTAAAGAGCACAATTTAAAAATCCGTAGATGTAAAAAATGAATGGAAACTTGACCACTTATAAATTTGTGTTGGATTTGGATAGTGAACTTTTATCGTACTAAAATTATTTATCCACGAATATTAGTACATTCCTCAATTCTTTAAAAATGTGTTTCAGCCGGCATTTACGGAAAGAATCTTCAATTTTGCTACAAAAGCTGGAGAATCAACAAGGCTGTATTCGTTACGAAATATAGGTGCTAAATTCAATAGATTGGTCATTTTCTTGATCTCTTATACTTCGAATCTAGTTGGCAAATTTCATTGCATGCTGATGAGTTTATTTATCCATTAAGAATAGATACTAAATTACGAATACTATCTTAGTCAAGCTTATTTGTTACATTTCTCCACTTTTTTACAAAAAAATATTTATTTCCATTTTAAAATGATTTTATAGTATTACTATGTATATACTTTGTGTGTATAATAATGTTGTAATATTTATCTGCTCGATAAGTTAAATTTATATTACGAATCTATTTTAAAAACTTCTTTAAATCTAAACAAAATATGGAAATAAAGCATAAAAACTCTAAAAGCAAACTATCCATCTTGAAAATCAAATTCCAAGATGAAATTCTTTTTTTCAATACAAAGGTTGAGATATTTTAATACATATCCTCATTTCATTACCTATAGTTGAACTGAAATGACTTCATAATCATATTTCACATTGTATTCTAGAAAATGAAATGAATTTTTGAGGGAAATCCTATATTTCTCATACCTTTCAATACAATGTTTCTAAAAAGCATATGTAGCACTAAATAGAGTCATCTATTTAATAAATTTAAGCTATATTATTCTTCCATAAGCCAAATGAAATAATCAGGCTATAAGATAAAGAGAATAAGAAGCAGTCTGATGGAATGTATATTACAACTATTTATTATATATCACAGATTTAAAAAAGCAACATGAAGAAATATTGCTGAGTTTTTATCTTGAGTAAATGTCTTATGATATATATACGAGTGAGAAGACGGACAAAAATGCAAGAGATAAGCCGTAATAGCATTGATTATTAACAGATTTACATTGGAGATTGAAGTCTTCAACTGCATGAGGAAAATCACAATTGATTGAATTATCAAAATTTACATTATCATCTTTTCCAAAGGTATTTGATGGATAATTAGATGTTACTCTGATATTCACACCTTTTGATGTAATAGGATATGCTGAGTCTCTATTAAATACATCTTGACTATTGCCCATAGGAAAAAAAGTAACGTATATTTGAATGAGTAGGCATCCATCGAGCTTACTCACCTATTAAACTTTTTATTCGATCTCTGGCCGACAAAGAGCCAGAGAATCACATCTGCATTAACTTATGCTGAAGTTATCTGGATTTCTTCTCTCATTTGAGAGACATCCAGATCTCGCTTTTTTTTGGTCAGGTACGACAACTACATTACACTAGGGCAGAATTCTCATCACAATTCTCATCACAAGCATATTACTTTAGAGTAGAGTTCTTCCGAAATCTCTCATCAAATGAGAGATTTCGGAAAGACTCTGCCCTCTTCGATCAATCACAGCTTCATCAGCCGTTTACTGACCAAAGAACGATCACGAGAGTACATTAAGGCGAAGTTCTTCAGAAGTCTCTCATTCAATGAGAGACTTCTGAAGAACTTCGCCTTATTCGACTAAATTTACATTCCCTGGCTCATGCTTGGCCAGTGAACATATGCAGATTGCATTATAACAGAGTCCTTTCGAGACCTCTCATTCAATGAGAGATCTCGAAAGGACTCTGTTATATTTATGTAAAAGCATAATTTACGACCTTAAACAGGCTAGAGAGAAGTAAAACAGTACGCGTAAATTTTAAAGTAAAAATAATGTCAAGAGAAGCGCAATACTTATGCAGTCTATATGCTATGACATAGTATATAGACTGCATAAGCATTGCGCTTCTGATCTGCAGACCACTCATGAAAGACCAAATTGAGATTTGATGCAGAAATCATTTGCTGATAAGGATAGTGCAGCATCAAATCTTGGTAGGATCATGCTATGCACAGTATCCTTATCAGCAAGTGAATAGCTGATGATGGCCATCCATGAGAAATGACACTTTTGAGTTTTGAAAGATAATTTTTTTTAATAATATTTTATTAATATTAAAATGCTGCACTTAATTTAATTCAGTTCATGTTTCAGAGTTTTATTTTTTCTCCACTCAATTTTAAAATAAATTTTTTGATACCCCCTTTTCAATTCAAATTTACGCCAAAATCACAAAAATTATTATTTCATATTGAATTTTATTATTTTAAACATTTTTATTCATAGATCAAAATTGAAATGATATTCAATTTTATTTTGTTTTCAGATTCCTTTTTTCAGCAGTTTAAATGAGTATTTCCGCATCAAATCCTTAATATAAGTTATGCATATCTTATCGACATCTATATATTATAATATAAGTTTCAAATATTCTTATTTCTACATCAAATTTTTAATGTTCGAAAGAAATTGCTTATTGTCATATCACTTTCTTATCTATGCATGAAATAAAACTTTATAAATATATAATTCATCAAATTCTGTATATTTTTCTAAAATGAGATTTCAAATTGATTATATTCTCTTATTCTACTAAAATTACACCTTAAATCATATTTACAAACATATATCATACTTAAAGATATATTCAACAACCATATAACACCCGCATATATTGAATTTCTAATTCGATCATTTCACGAATTCTTCTGTTTTATAAATATATGTCATTTATAATATTGATCATTTAGCATATACTTCATATAAAAACTTTCATAGGCTAATTCTAATCTTTTCTGCATATAAATTTCAATTTCATACAAAAAGTAATCAACCATGAGCTGTGGTTTATACAGCAACTATTTCTATGTATATATATATTATTATATTACTATTTATTCAGTTCTAATTTATTTATATATTGAGTTATTGTCATGCTTCATTTTTAAAATAATCGGGTATCCCCCCTTTCTTAAGGCCCAAAAAATTCCCAAATTCAATTCACAATAATCGTTTTTGGGATTTTTTTGGAACCCACTTTTTACACTTAAATCTAACTCCCTATAATATTGATGATTAAAACTTATTTAAAGAATAAAAGATAAACATGTTACATAGTTATTCCATATATGATTTAGTCAATATTTAACTTATGTAAATATATAATATTTTATTGGTTAAGATAGCTTTTGAATAAGAATAGTTTTTTGGCACTTGAATATTCTGCAAGATCGAAAAATTGAAGGGATCATTTCCTGAATTGCCACATTTTGAATGCTTCTATTACAAAATAGATTTCCATACATTTCCTGATTGTTGAATTTTCAAAAATTTCATCTAATGATGGTCGATCATTTGGGTTTCGAGACAGCATTGATTCGATTAATGGCCGAATTACAGCATATCTATCATTTATTTTTCTTTTTCCTTGGAAATATGGTTTGAGTGTGCATAATTCATAGAGGATTAGACCAAATGAATATATATCTGCCTTTTCGTTTTAAGGATCGCCAAGTAAAACTTCTGGAGCTGAATACACCGGAGTTCCGCATTGAGTGTATGCATATTGAGAAGAAGTGTAAAGTGACTTTGCTAAACCGAAATCACTAAGATAAATTATATCAAAAGCATTCGAAACAAGAATATTTTCAGGCTTAAGATCTCGATGAATGATATGATTTTTGTGAATGTATTCTAATGCTTTTGCTATTTGCCAACATATTGAGCAAACTGTATCTATCCTTAAAAGTTCACCATTTTGTCTTGAAATATATTGACGTAAATTTCCTCCATCAATGTAGTTCATAACTATATATAATTTATTGTTATCAGTCCAGGAAGAAATATATTTAACAATATTAGAATGGTTCAATTTAGATAGGATTTCTACTTCAGAACGAGCTTTTGCTCTCATTTGAGAGCTCATCTCTGATAAATCTATTACTTTCATGGCATATTGTTTTCCATCTGGAGTTTTGACTAAGTAAACTACCCCAAATCCGCCTTGTCCAAGTTTGCGCACTATGGTGTATCGAACCATCTTGTTCTAAAATGATATTTTCAACTATGAAACAAATTACGACTTCTTTACGACTCGGTATTCAAAAAATATCTAACAAAATTCTACGACTCAGATTTTTTTTGTGTGTGTATGTATTGAATCCAACAGTTTTCATTATTGGGTATCATTACATGATCCTACATTATCATTTTAAAATATTCTTGAAAAATTGCATAAATTTCATTTAGTAATAACGAGAAAATATTCAGTAAATAAAATTTTAATGCTCATCAAGAAATAAATGAGGTGTATTATTGATGAGCATTAAAATTTTGTCACTTTTATTAGGAAACAATTTGTGAGCTATAACTACTCAATTGGGGTATTGTTTCTTATTAAATCTCTCAATGAATGAGAAACTTTATAAGGAACATTCATACTACTATTTCTTGGCTAGCAAATGGCTAATGATTCAATTACTTGTCGAATTGAGTAGTGTTCTTTCAAAATATCTCATTTGATGGGAAATTTTGGGAAAATTCTCTCCTAATGTAGTTTTCTTGTTGTTTTTGATCATTTGTATGTCAGTGGGTGCAAATTTCATCGAATAGAACAGATATTGTCGCAAATATCTCATTTAATGAGAGGCTTTGGAAAATTCTGCACTAGTATTTTGGAATTGTAGTGTATCTGTAATTTGTTTATATACTGAAATTATTTGGATATTTCTCAAATCAAGTGCTAAATACAGAAAACTCTAGCATAGCATAATGGAAATGTAATTTTTTGTAATTGTCAATCACAAAAATATCTTCCTCAAACATCCTTTAAACTCGAAACAAACACTCATTATTAAAAAATCTCTTTTATGAAGATATCTATATATAAATAACTTTATTCTATATAAATTTACATATTTTGAGCTTTTTTATAAATAACAAGGGCCAAATCAGAAATTTGCTTATTACTTCCATTGAATTTGCTCATAATATAAAGGAGAGCAGTGTGGAAAGAAGATCTGTTCAAGAAAATGTTGTTTTTCCTTGGTAAATAAGAGACAGCAGCGTCATAGAAGTCAAGGAATGCTTTGGCAGTGTCATCAGATATATCCCTGAACTCAATCATTGCTTTTGTTGGTGTTTCAAGTAAAAATTTCTTGTGTCTCTGAATTATATCTTGATTTGTCGACAAAATTGTAATTAGAGCCTTGAATGAGTGGAATATTGTCACAAACATTGCATTGGACATCTCGATTTGCTGAGGATCATCTTTCAAAAATGGAATTCGAGTAAATAATCTAAAGATTTCAATAATTTTATCGACAATGTCAGGATAATCAACCAATTCTTGCATCGTTACCATCTCTGGTCTTTCCTTTCCATCATCTCCTTCGTTTTTCTGAGTTCCTGAATCTCGATATTCAGAATTTCTGTTTCTTTGGTCATTTCTAGTAACAGTGATCTCTAACTCATACATCTTAAGTATATAAGCAATGCACTCGCACACACTTGGTATGAAATCCGATGAAAAACTTCTTGTTTCCAAAACTTCCAAAATTTTTGACAAAATTTCATTAATTAGGTCGATATCTCCCTCCCCCATCTTTGAGAAGGCCAGACCCAACATTAAACAACCGTTTTTGAAACAATCCGGTGAATCTGAGTTTATCATCTGGAACATTAAAGGAATGAAGTCAGAAGAGAGGTAATTCTGGTCGATTGTGTAGTATTCTATGCATTCTACGACTAGTTTCATCTTTTCTGGTGTTGCATTGTCGAGCCAATTTGGATTATGCAGCAAAACAATGAATTTTTGGGCCAAAGCAACGATTTCATCCATAATATTGCCCTTGTAGCTTTTAATAATGTATAAAAAGAAGTCGCAGAACTCGTCTTGGATGAGAAATCTGTCTTGGTCGGTCATATTAAAGGAATCTATTTGATCTAGGAGCTCGATTCCGAATGTCATGATCTCTTTGGCCTGTTCTATTGACTCTCTGATGCTTACTTTGCTGAAATTCACTGAAAGAAGATACAATAAATGTTTTATTGTAAAAGAATTGAAGTTTTGCTGGAAAATTGTATCGCGAATTGTAGTATATATGTTGTTGAAGAGATCTACTGGGTAGTTTTCAAGAGATCTGGAAAAATTGTTCTGAATAAAACTTATGACAACTAAAAATGAGTATCCTGTGAGTTCGTCGATTCCATAACTCATTACTTTGGGTATAATCACTGTGAAAAACATCTCAAAGAAGTCTTTCTCTGTTTGGTCGCTCTGAGGAAAAGTTGTTAAAAGATATTCTTTCGAAATCTGTTGATTCCTTGAAATACAGAACAAAAGACCAAAGATATCAGAAAATATAATGGGAAGTTCGGTAGATAATAGAATACTGAAGACATTTTCCCTATTTTCTTGAATAATCTTGAAAACAGGCGAATTTATGTTCTGTGTCTGAGCGAATGAGACCAGAATGGACAGACAATTAATGAAAATAAGCTGTTGGCCCCATGATCCAACAATTGGAGGAGAATTTTGTAAAATTTCGTAAATTGCAGGGCCAACGTGTTCCATGTCATAGTAAGTTAGGCGGCTAAGAAGGTCTTTGACCTGGTAAGCAAGGTAATAATTCATTTCTGATGAGTCAATATAATCGGGATTTTCAATTTTTGAAAAACTGTCAACGAAAATGTTGATAAGAGGAGTAACCATGAGTTCTGTGAAGTTCTCGTTGATCATAATTGGCTCCTTGAACGTGTACGGGAATTTACATTTAATTCCTTCTTTTCCAAAGCTATGCTGCTTCGTTTCGAAGGTCTGCTGGCATTTACTTTGATCAATACATGAATATTCGAACCCTGTGAAGTCAATGTACTGTTGAATAAGAATTTTCAAAATTTCTTCATTTTTTTCATCATCAAAGCTTGGGCAGCAAAACATTTTATCGAATTCTTCTGTAAACTCATCTATATTCTCTGTATTTTCTTGAAAATACTTAATTAATTCTTCAGAAATCAAAATTTCGTTTTGGAACAAAAAGAAAGGAGGAGATCTATTAATATTCAGTATTGTTATAACGAAGAACATCAAAATCTGCAGTTCTTCCCTGAATTTCATATTATAATAAAAATAAATTAATTTGAAGATCATTTGAATGACAGCTTCGAATGTATTCTGTTGGCAAGCCATCTGTATTGTCTTTGACACCACTCTCAGGATGATATACGTCGTAGGTTTCGTTTTGTAGTGATCATCATTTGATTTCGTAATTATTTGGGTCAGACATTTGGTCGTCAGTTCCAGAAAGTCCTGACACTCTGAATTTGTGAAGTCATAATTGGAATAAGGGAATTTTATGCAAAATAGGTAAATTGGACGGATTTCTTGCTTAAAGAAGGATGCCTGGTCCTTGTAGTCTTCTAGTAATTCGATTGTTGCACGAAATGCGGCTCTTTTTTGTGAATTTGAAAAATTATCATTTGATAATGCGTTTGATAATGAAGTAATTATGTCTGCAGCATTGCCTCTCATGTAATAAAACAATCCTGATAGACATGAAGAACATAATTCAGGAATAATTGGTAAATCTGAAAATAATCCATTAAGTGTTGATGTTTTCACGCGTTGAAGTGCTGCAATCTCTTGTTGGTTGTCATCTTTTGTATAAATATAATTAAACAATTGAGGTAAATCATTTTGAGAAATAAAATGTCCTGAAAAAAAGTTTTTAAGTAAAATAAATGCTTGTGCGAAGTCATTTATCTGATCTTCGCTGAGTTCTGATGTTATTTGTGATGTGATTGTTGCGATTGTGTCTAATGCTTGAATTGGATTTTGATTAAAAACAGAATTGAAAAAGTTAAATGTATCTTGAAGTGTCTTGTCATCTCCAGATCTGATATTTGGTAAGTTTTGAAGAAATTGATTAACTAATGCATTTTGATCAAATCCTGAAAACATCAACAAATAAAAATGTAAAAACAAACTATAAAGAATTATAATATAGCACATATAATATGTTGGTTATCATATGTTTTGTTCGTCTAATTCAAGAAACAAGTAAAAATTGTTTCAAAATTTAACAAAATAATGGGATAATTTAAGGACAACAAGAGTTTTCTATAAAAGAAAAATAAATATTAAGTAATAGAAATGATGTTTTTAAATGAAATTAAAGAAATTTATTTCTTATTTGGATAGATTCTTGGACCAAAGATAGAAGATCCAACACGTACAAAAGTAGCACCCATTTTAAGAGCCAATTCGTAATCTGCGCTCATTCCCATGCTGAGTTCTAAATCTTCTGGTTTCATTCCTAATTCGCCAGCAATGCGTCTTCTCTCTTCGACGAGGCATGCGAAATCTCTAGAAGCTTCGCCTGTTTCGCCAATTGTCATAACACCTCTGAATTTTAAGTTATGGCAGTTTTCTACGATGAATTTAGCGAGTTCTGATGCTTCAGCACCATTGGCGATGCCACTCTTTTGTGGTTCTGCAGATGTATTAATTTGAATTAAAACTTCAAGAGGTTTTCTATTTACGTATTGCTTATCGACTTTAGTAGCCAATTCCTTACTATCTATTGACTGAATCATAACCAAATTCTCAACTTTGCAGAGTTTGGCAACTTTATTCGACTGAAGGTGGCCAATCATGTGGAATTGAGCATCAGGTAACTGTGGTCCCTTTGTAATGATTTCGTCAACATAGTTTTCACCAAAAATTCTGCCACCAGCTTCAAAAACTTGTTTCAGATCTTCAATTGGTTTAGTTTTGCTCACACATACAAGATGGGCTGTTGATGATAAGTTCTTGACAATCTCATTTATGTGCTTGTAATTCTCTGCAACGTGAGATTCTGTCATTGCAAAAATTTCTGAAAAGTGTCAAAATTTTGATAAGTGGTAGGATGAAATTTTCAAACACAAGCATATAATTTAACTTAATAAATCAAATATATGCATAATTCCTCGATTGATTGCCGTCCAAAATTATTAGGATTTCATCAAAACTTACTCAAGAAATAAGAATTTTTTTTTCAAATTTTATAAATCAAAATTATTTTGGAAAGTTTTTATTGAAGATTATCGATTTTTAAATAATACATTTTTAGTATTTTTACATAAATAAGTAAATTAATTTCTTAAATGTGTATGAAGTGTGAAATTCATGAGAATTATTTTTAATTTCATTTTTAAATTCAAATGTAAAGTCATAAATAATACTTATTCAACACAATTAGAATAATAAATCTAAAACAAACCAATAGAAACAATATCAATTGCGAATATATTTTGAAAGACAGATAGTTAGCTAACGCAAGTCAGGCAGTAGGTTACACTCCTACTGTAGTTAAAAATAATTAGTCCCATTTCATGAAACGTAGTAACAAATTTGATATGTCAGCAATTTGTAAACTTTACAACAATAAATTATGATTCCAGAGGAGGACCCAGTTTTTGGAATCCTCCTTAAGAAGTTTCCACCAACTCAGGATGAAGATTTTATAGGCTTGGACAGCGAGTTCAATGACTATAAAAATTTCCCTGAGTTCAAAAGAGAAGACATTATATTTGCGTATCAAAAACACTTAGCTGGAGCTTCTTATCATGATTTGCTCCTCGAGCTAGAGTACAATTACAAGTATTCCGAGGACATTTTGAGAACTATTGTCACTTACAAAAATTGGACACCATCACAAATTCAAACATTATCACGAATAGCACTGTTCAATTTCATCAGTTTCGTCACAAAAATCGTAAATGACAATCTAATGCTTACAATTGAGTCTTTATTTTTCGTTATTCAATCTCAATATTCTCAATTAGCTATACCTGCCTTAGATTACTTATTCGAACACTGTCTAGCATCACAAGGAATCGAAAAAAACATAGCTATTGACTATATAAAGAAGCTATTCAACGAATTTCCGATTCTTGCAAAACCAATTGTTCCAATCTTATCAGAATACGCGAAAGACTTATGTCCTCAGCCCAACGACAACCAGGAAAAGATAGAAACAACAACAGATTTCTTCAGTTTCATTGTCAGATTCGCACAAACTCATCCGAACTACTTCAACGCAATCGAATCCGGAGAATTCGTCAAAGGCATAATGCCAGCAATAGTACGACTCGATGACAACGCGTTAAAACTACTTTTTTCTCTTTCTCCATATCTTGATGAAAATACTATGATTACAACAGTAGTTTCTCTTCCAATGCTCATCAGAGAACAAGTAGAGAAGGAGGAGCCATTCCTTGTTCCAAGAACTCCAGACAATCAACAGATAAATACCTTAGAATTTCTAAATCAGTTTAATCAGTCGAAATTCACTCCTTACAAAGAAAGTCTGACCGCGTCTTACACTCATCCGCCCAGGGAAACGTTCAAAATGGGAATCGATATCAAAAAAGGCGTAAAAATAAGCGAACAACCCACAACAACGAAATTAATCAGAAGCGACTTGTATCCGAAGCTAGAACTCATCGGACAATCGCTCTTCAATCATATCAACGCCGCAAAAATTTTGTTGGATAATTACGGACAATGCGTAAATACTTGCCAGAACTCGAAGCATTTCTACGACCATGTAGCGATAATGATAACACTATACAGATTATGCCCAAATACTGAGCTAACGCCCATCGTTTGGGAGACTTTGTTCCATACACATTTATTCGACCCAAGAATTAACATTTTCGATAATAATTCAATTGAACTCATCGACCAATTAAGACTACAGACGTTTAATACGGTTAATATTAACGGATTTTCGTATTTACCGCAAATGTTCAAATCATTTTTACAAAAACCTGAACTTGTAGCTGAAATGCTTCGACGTATACTCGACGAATTTGATCACGTATCTCCTACAGTACTTATTTCCTCTTCTTTCGCTAAAAGTCTCTGTAATATTATTGTATATTTCCAATCTCTCCACTTTGAATGCGAGGAGAGCCAGCTATACCTTATAGAGACAACCAGATCAGTTATCCTAATCTTTATGTCCCAGGTTTTGTCCAATAATACCATTGCTTCATATTTATTTTCTTGCAAAATTTTTGTGATCTCATTTTTCGCTTTAATTTTTGAGCCGGCGCTTTGTGATTTTATTCTCGGATTAACACGTACGTACTTAACTACGAAAGGTTCTACGCAAACAACAACAGTTATCAATGAATTAATTGATATATCAAAATTAATTTACTTAAGATTCCCAGTTAAGGTCGATGTTAAGCTCGCAACCGCTCTACTTGAGACATTGAACGATGTAATGAGCCATTCACAAAAACTTATTGAGCCAATTAAAGGATTATCGGATTCTATTTGCTCTGTTCTTCCTGTTTTGGAGCCGAATGAAGTATGCGATGCTTACTTAGTCCAGGCATTGCATTTCTTTACTGTCGTTGCTTCAACTTTGAGAATTAAATCCCCTCATATGCAAGCAATCACAAAAGGAATACAGAGAGTAGAAGGCGGTAACATATCCGCACAGATATTCACATATCTCAAACAAATAGCCGCTGGAACTCAGATTTCTTCGGTTTCTCCGTTTTTTGTGATTCAACAACCGAAAGCAATCAAAGCATTGCTTAATATTACGAGGCAGTCGAAGGAGTTTTCCTCAGTTATCACATTCTTACTCAGTTTGGTTCATTTTACGTACCAAAATTGTATTATTATGAACAGATCTGGTATAGATATGCTTCTTTTGGAGATTATTGATGAGCAGAAAGGTGGAGAAATCCCACAATCGATATTAGATGGCGTTTTTTCGATAATTACTTCGATTTCTTTAGTTGTTTCTTCAACTTTAGTGATGCACAGGTTCTTAAGTCTGATGTTTCCTATAGAAGGAAAGTATTTGTCCTGTTATCATCAATATTTTGTGAAGAAATTAATCGGAATTACATCTCTCGCACATAGAGCGCCACAAGCATACATTGCTATACGTTCTCCTGTAAAGATCCTTGTAAAGAACATGACGAGAGAAGATTTAGGCGATGAATTTACGATTTGTTTTTGGATTTATGTAGATCATGCAATTTCGCAAGCCCATTCGAAGATTATTGAGATCTTTGATCGCAAACTAAGAGGTTTCAATGTCTTTATTTCCAGCGGAACTTTATTATTTACTTGTCTTGCAAAAACAACAGAATCAACTGCCAGAATCGACGTAACTCCTCCACGAGGACAATGGTGCTACATTGCCATGGAGATAGCCTTCTCCGGCCAAGGAAAAACCTACGTCCAAACGCGAATAAATGATGAATTAGGAAGACGTTTAGAATTTCGCTGGAAAGGACTGAAATCCGGGCCAATAAATATCCAGATTGGAGATCATATCACAAACAATAAAAGGGACGAATATCCGCCAGTTTTATTGGGAAATTTACAAATTTTAGGAATAATTTCCCAAGACGACATGAAAACTATAACAGAGAACGGGCCAAGAGGTAACTTAAGCCAGGACTGCAAATTATCACTCCAATTATCAGATAGAGAAGGGATTGTAAATTGTTCATTTAATTCAATGAACAAACTCTGCCAATTCGACTTCATTGGAGGCCCAGTTGCTTGTATGACCTCTTTCATTGACGTTCTCCTCAATCTCTGCAAAGTTCGTGCTTTAATTCCTTTATTTTCTCTTTTTGACTTAAGAACAACGAAAGGTGACAAATTCACAGAAATTCCAGAACTTATTGTTGATCTCTTTACCTCAACACTTAGTATTTCCCAGAATATACAAGCCAGTTTCACAAATGCTTATGGAATCCAAATAATTAGTCACTTAATCCAAGAAAGTAAGACATTTCCACGTACGTACCAAATGTACATGAGGTTCTGCAACATGCTGAGTTCAGTAACCCACAGACCATTGCAAAAAGCGATTTTAGAATCGATTTTATGCAATTTTTCGTTTATTTTGCAGTTCGATCCACTGACACAGATGCGCATAATCAAATACTGGAAGCGAAACCTTCTTCCCGGATACCCCCAGATCTTTCCAGAAGTACTTCCAGTTCAAAATTTGATTTCGGCGATGCACGCACACTTCGAGAAAGGCAGTTCGATGATAGAAACCATCAGGGACAACATCAGACAACTGATTGTCGATGTTTCCGCGATTTCTATCAATGAAACTGACGTTTTATGTCTGATTTCGGATGCAATTTCGACTAATTCCATCAAAAGAGTCAAAGAAACACTGAAAGTCATAGCAGAAATCTTTGATGTAGAACAAGGAACACCTGTAGACAAGTTAAAGTTCCACATTACTCACATTGTTTTGTTGAATAACGTAATTCCCAATGGCGACAACGAAGTTTTGTTACTTCTGATATCAATCATCAGTTCCATACAGAGATTGAACCTTGTTCCCGCCATTAATCCACGAATTCACTACGAACTCGTCATGCAAAACATCACAAACAAATGTTTAAGTCATGACACAGCAATTTCTTTAGCGACATTTGTTAATGCGTACGGATCTGATTTGTTGCCAATCTGTTTGTACGTTGCAATGAATGTCGATGACACTGCTTTGTACGAGGTTTACGAGACCCTCAAGCCAATACAAAACCTCTCAAACCACGCGAGAATGTGGATAATTGCAAGTGTCATAAAATCTTCTTCTGACATCAGAAACAAAGCATTGAATTTTCTGTTGAGTTGTGAAGGAGATTGGAATGACACCATTGCAACGATTTCGTTAGTGAATAACTCATTGGGTGAAGATGCGAATAACATGATAATTGATTTCTTGATTTTGTTGAGTCATAAGATTTTGGAAGAAAATTTAGATGACAAATATGAAAATTTCTTTACATTGGCAAAAAATGCTATTTTCTTCCATTCCGATTTGAACAACAAAAACAGTCCATTGTTTAAAGAATTCGCCACTTCATTGTTTTATACAGAAGAAGACACGAGTTCAGAAATAAGTGAAACAAACCAAAACAATGCATTCGAAACATTGAGAACGAGATCAATGATGTCTAGATCATTTATTTTTGTAAATGGTGATGAAAATTTTGAAAAAAGTGATGTGGAAGATGAAAAAGAAATTGATTTGTTACAAAGTTCTTTCGCTAAATCAATGTCTGAATCTAATGTAATCATTCCAGGAGTTCCACAATTGACAATCAAAAAGAAAAGAAGACTTTCTTTCGATGAAAACAAACAAATTTCAACTCATTCCTCTTTAAACGTGTTTTTGTTCAGGCCGCCAACAGAATCTAAACTTTTGTTTAACATGAATGATTTCTACCAGAAACTGGAAGACTTCGCAAAGAAAAAGAATGAACTCATTTTCTCTATAAGAAGAGATAAAAATGGAAGATGGTTGGATATTGATATCGCGTCAATTTTCATAAAATTATATTTGTCAAAACCGTCGCCGTTACATTTATCAACTGTTTTAGTTTTGCTGATGATAATGATGCATTACCAGCATTTGTTCGTTGAAAAGATCATCAACCAACTGAATCCGACTGCCCAACAAATCAAAAACAACAAAGTTTATTTCCAAGCTTTGAAATTTGAGATGCAAAAATTGGAATTAAAAACAGAAAATAAAATTTTCACTTCACAAATATTGTCGGAGAAATCGAAAATAGAGTGTTTAGAGATGTTCGCAAACTCTATATCAGTTGTTGATCAGCAGAGAGTGTTTAGAACAGCAGAAATCATAAGAAAAGACAATTTGAAGATGGTTGAATTGCAAGCGGAATTTATTAATTTTGAAAACGCGGAAAACATCGGATTTTCTTTGAAACAGAGCTCTAAATTAGTAATATCAGAGCAGAGATCGAACAAGAACTACCAGAAGTTCTGGCAAAGACTGTGGTCGGCAATGACAATGCCTCTCGCTCTCTGGGAAGGAGCGACATCAAAGAAAATAGAAATGATTTACCAAAGAGATTACAAATTATGCAGTCACTTTTCAGCTGTAAAACAAAAAATCAACAGACCTTATTTGCAGCAGAAATTGGCACAGTCACAACCTGGCTTCGAGTGCTATTACTACTGTAATGATGATACAGAATGTCATGGAACAATCGATGTCTCAAAAAGTGGAATAATTTTGGGTTTGGATTCAGGCGTTAAATTCATTCACGATTTTCACATAAAATTTATCATTTCTATAGTTTACAAAAACCATTCTGCTATAGAAGTGATAAAGAGAAACGGTTCTATCGTTATTATAACCGTCAAAGAAATTTCGGAAATTTTGAGTCTTTTGAACCAAAATTTGACAACTCCTGAATTTATTTCCACCGAAATAAACAATCCATCGGAATTCTTGATAAAGACGAAATCAACTGAGAAATGGTCGAACGGATTGATCTCCAACTTCGAGTACTTAAACCTCGTGAATTTGGCTGCAGGAAGATCTTATTACGACAGAAATAATTACCCAATTTTCCCTTATGTTGTAACTGACATGAAAAGTGACAAAATTGACATAAATGATCCAAAAATTTACAGAGATTTGAGGAAATCGATGGGTTTGTTCAATGATGAGCGTGTTAACGAGTTACACGACTTGCATCCCGATTATTTATTCGAACAAAGCTATTCGACATCGAATTCAATCAATTCTTTTTTGGGCGGATCAGTGAAAATTTCTGAAATGCTCAAGATTTCGGAAATGAACAATTTCGAACTCACCCCTGAGTTCTTCTCCTTCCCTGAGTGTTTCACTGACTCTCAGATTCCTCCATGGGCATCATCACCTGTTGACTTTGTTTACAAAAACCGAAAAGCACTGGAATCTGTCATGGTTTCTGCCACTTTACATATTTGGTTGAATTTAGTTTTTGGTGTCAAAATGCCACTTTTTAATCCAAAATTTTCTGAAGATTTTTCGGAAGATTTCGTCAATAAACACGGAACTCTTCCGCCAATAGTCTTCAACCAGCCACATCCTGTAAGAACAATAGATTTCCCACCGCCACTTTTATCGACTCCGACGGTTTTGACAACTGACTTAAAAGGTGTCAGTTTCATTTCCTCATCGATAGAAGACAACAAACTGAATCTGAAATTCGTTCTGAGGAGTGGATATCAGAGACAGTTTATTTTTACAGGAAGTGAACTGAAAATTTCAAGTCCTGATTTAATTTTTGACAAAAACAATGTTAGTCAAACTGTTTCTTCTTCCAGTTTCGAACTTACAACTGCAGAGACAAAATACGGAATTTGCACTTGTTCAGGCAATTCCGCGAATGTCGAAGTGATTGGGAAGAACAGAATAATCAGAACTCCTTTCGGATTGATCAGATCAATTTCTGGCAGTGGAAAGTTTATTTCCGCTGTTTGTACTGACATGACAACAAGGATTTGGGACCTTGAAACTGATTCTGTTTCTTATGTTTCGAGTTACAGAGATTACACGATTTGTTCTTGTGTTTCTGAAGAATTCGGAGTTGTTGTTTCAGGAACAAGAGACGGAACAATCCAAGTTTGCACTTTGGGAGGTGTCGTCGTCAGAGTTATTTCTCTTGGAAACAGGAAACCATTGAGAGTTTTAGTTTGCCCTGGCTCTGGATTCATCTGTGTTTTGAGCGAAAGAACAGATGATATCGCGAGACAGAAAGACATTGTTGTGTTGACAATCAACGGAATATGGATTGGCTGCATGGAAGTTCCTGGAATAAGGTGCTGGAGCGCGTGGGAAGACTGGAGAGGAATAGATTACGTTGTTTTGGCGACAGAAGAAATGAAAGTAATAACTTTGGAAGTAGGAACTTTGGAATTGCCAAAAGAGAAATTAAGATGCCACATTGCACCTGTATCAATGAGTTATTGCAAGGAAGGAGGAATACTTTGCTTGGTAGATGATGATGGTGTTGTACAAATAATCACTATTTAATGTTTTTTATATTTGTTTATTTTATCTTTTTATTTTATATATAAAGTGTTATATTTAATTTTACGGTAAATTATAATTAATTATTTCTTAATAAACAGACAGGAAACTTGAATGCATCTTTTGTAACTATTGAATTTGTTTCGATTTCCTCATAATTATCCTATTCAATTGAAATATAGAGTTCCAACTTTAAGATCTTTGATATTGGCGAATACGAATCCTTTTTTTCAAACATGCTATGCATTGATCAGCATATTTTACACTTCTAAAATGTTGCCGTATGGTGACGTAGTTATCGATCATTGATTAATCAGATCTCGTTTTCTTTTCATGAACGAAGCCAAAAAGTTTATAAAGTGATTAAGGCTTCTCGTACACGTTTATAGAGTCATACATAATAAAATTTTGCAAATAATGTAATTTTGTAGTTTCCATGATAGATATTCCTAATGGGAACTTAAACTCATGACACGTTAACTCAGATAAAAAATCATGTTATAAAGAATATAAACAAATAAACAAACATTTTAATATATATAACCGCGCTAAAAATCAACATGAATAAAATTGGTTTTCATATTTTCCTGAATATAATTCATTTTCTATTTCTCTTATTTTATTTTCCTCATCAATCCTTTGCTTCTTAGTTTTCTTTATGAGAGATATAAGTTCTTTCCTCATTTGTTCTTCATCCTTTTTTCTTTTTGATTCTTCTTCACTTGAAGCGAAATATTTTTCTGGATGCTCGATAATATCTATTGCTTGCTCTGTTTCACGAATCTTCTCTCTTAGCTCACTGATGTTTTGCTTACTGCGCCTCATTCTACGTGGTGCATACATAGAAATTAATTCATCTAGATTTGCTTGAGCTTCATCAATTTCCTTGTATACTTTGTGCTTTTCTTCATTAAGACGAACAATTTCTAGATGTAACATCTTAATCTCTTCTTGATTTTCTGTGATTGATGCAGTGATGTCAGAATTTCTGATTCGCTTGATATCCCTTTTTCTTTGACGTATATCTCGTTTGACTTCAGCAATTGAAGGCTTTAAAACCTTAAGAATTCTGACATTATCTTTATCTTTTGGTTTATATGTAAACAATTGTTCATATCTAGCTATTTTGGCAATAATATTTGTCTTATTTTCAAGTAATTGCTGCTTTTTCTGTTTGTTTCTAATCAATTCATTCATTGAAATTTGATTTTTGTTTTTTGAAGCTTCAGTAAATGTGGATCGTGGAATTTTTAGTTTTGGTGATATATCAGTCTTAGTTTGAACCGATCTAAGAGGTGCTAATCCTTTTCTTCTAGCCGAAGTTGATGTTGACATTTTTAACGTATGATTTTACCCTACCTTTGAAAATTGAATGAAAGAAAATTTTAGAAGGATTTCTACTGAGTATATATTGTAAATTAACTTGACATAAAAATATCTTCGAATTTTTAATGATTCTATGAAATTTCTTCATTTCCATTCTCTCACATATCATTTCATGAGTATGGAATTCACAATAGCTATTAGTGCTACGAGAGTTCTCATTTATTCAGTTATGGCTAAGATTTTATAAATGTATTGGTTTATGAAATATATTTACAAACATTTCAAGTATGTAAATTCACACATTTAAGTAATACAAGTAAAAAAATTTACAACAATATAAACCAGGTTTATTATTTTCCAATTTTATAATCTTTACATTTATTGTTCAGATTTTGGTTCTAATCCGAGTGATTCAATTGCTTTCTTAAGTGGCTTGAATTCCTTCTCATCAATTAGATTGTAGTATTTCGTAAATTTATAAAAATGAGTGAATGAAGTATTGAAATGCTGAAGTGCATCGCAGCTCTTGAGAACAGCTGTATGATGGTTATAAAGATGAGCATAAACACGAAGTAATCGTCTGAATAACCTTGAAATTTCTGGTTTGAAAGTCTTTGGATATGATGATCTGTGATCACTTGGGAAGAAGTGTTTGTCACCCAGAAACGCATCGGCCCAATCGAAAAGTAAAGATACGTATTCTTTCGCGGGTAACTCTTTTGGTGTCTTAAATTGATCATCGTCTTGCCATAAATATTTAAATTTATGTCCAGCTGACATTACAGGACATTTTTCTTCTGTGCAATCATTTTCAACGAATTTATAAAAAATAACAAGTTGGTTATAGAATTCAACAGCATGAGTCGCAAACCAATCTTCTAATTTTTTACCATCTGGACATTTTATTGCGTCATCAATGTTACAAAGCTCGTAACAACCGTGAATGGATGTATAATCTTCATAGCACCGATGACCCGGCGTAAAGAAGTGAATTGGTTTAAAGGTTGCCTGGCTATGCCTGTTTGTTAGAATTAAAACTGTACATTTTTGAAAAAAAGCTCATCGCACTAAATTTCTGAAATGTGAAGTAAATGTAAACTTCACAAAATATTGGTGAATTTTATACATATACATAGTCTTAGCAACATATAGTATCTTTACATTCTATTGTCAAAAATACGTTTTATCCGAGTCAATTAATCGTCTTTTAACGTACATTATGCCAGATCATGATCTCAACATCTAAAAAATCGCTCATTATTCAGGTTAAAAACAATCTAATTTGTAAATCTATTACATCCAAAAATCTTGAAAATTATTTAAGGGATCATTTTCTGATGAAGATAATTAGATTGAGGATTCCCTACTTGTCATTTCAGTATATGGCGACATTTTTACTATTCCTCAAAACCCAACACCGCATTCAACTTACCAGAATTTTCACCATATAAAATTCGCGTAAATTTAAACCTATGCGACATTTCAATATCTCGTGACAACTCAAGGAATATCACTAGATTTATTTTTGGCAGTCAATTATCACTAATTCACTGCAAGACTTTCAAAGGATATCCATGAAAAGCTACTCTTTTTCAGTCATCACAAGAATCCCAGAGATTTTTGGCTTTATTGACCCTCAAAAAGAGGTGATATATTCTTTTTCCACAAAGACCATGAGCTCCACACCTATATAACACAAGATTTAATGGAAACTAAAACAAATCAAAGAAATTTATTAAAACTAATAAAAGATGAGTAGCAATAGGTCTTTGTTTATTACTTTATTGCTACTTACAGGCTTGCGGACGAAAGAGGTTTCTGTGCCAAAGGAAAAACAATATTGATTGGATTAAAAAAATTGCAACTCTTTTTGTTAAAGTTATGTCTATAAAGAAAAAAGGAGAATACAGAATCAATATTCTTTTTGAATCATCCTAAAGCGCTATAATTACTTTTTCTTTCATGAAATAAATTCAAACTCTGTAGAATTTGATTACTTCAAATAACAATATTTTTCCATTTTGTATATTAAGGGTGGCGGAAAGTGAAGTGAATGACCAAAAAAATGCTATTATCTCGCCATATGTTTAATATCTTTCGGTAAAAATTATATAGCTACAAATATCATTTGTAGTAGTATACGTGTGCCATAATTTCATTATCATATATGCAAGCTTTTTGTTTTCCCTCCTGTGATACATATTTGACTTTCGCTTTTGATAGGGGTAAAAAAATTTAAATATCTCATGATTGGAGCTTTAAGCACAAAATATGCTCAATAGAAAACATAGAAAACAGCATCTTTTATATATTTAAATATGAAGAAAGACTCCTTATCTGATATTGAAAGACTAGATACAAATCTAATTAAACTCTGAATAGGTGCAAACTGTAAAGAAAAGTATCGGATGTAATTGGTATTTATATGCTGTTTATTCTCATACATTGATTTTATGCAAATTTATAAGTAGTTCCAATCTCATCACTTATTGCATCTTAGACGAATTTAATAGATACGTGTTTTGTTCAATAGAAAAAATAGATCTATGTACCTATAATGCATACCTTAAGTATTTTTGATATTAATTCAAAAACCAGAGACTAGATACAGTCGGAAATTTAATTTTTTCATTCATTATTTCTCTACCAGATAGAGATCTCAGACGACCCAAACTTTGTAGTAAATACTTATTTATATACACTATTTAATTATGCTACAATAACAAAAGAATTTCAAATATTTATTTAGTTATTTTTTGTCACATCACTTTTCCCCACCCTTAAGAAAGAGAAACAAGAAGTTTAGCCGTTACTTGCATTAAAAATTTTCATTTTCATTTGCAACATGAGAGATAAGAAGTTCGGCTGTTTCTTTACTATCATATTTGGTTGCATATTGAAGAGGAGTTTGTCTAAACATATCTTTTTCATTGATATTTGCACCATGAGAGATAAGAAGTTCGACTGTTTCTTTACTATTATTTCTTGCTGCATTATGAAGAGGAGTTTGTCTAAACATATCTTTTTCATTGATATTTGCACCATGAGAGATAAGAAGTTCGGCTGTTTCTTTACTATTATTTCTTGCTGCATTATGAAGAGGAGTTTGTCTAAACATATCTTTTTCATTGATATTTGCACCATGAGAGATAAGAAGTTCGGCTGTTTCTTTACTATTATTTCTTGCTGCATTATGAAGAGGAGTTTGTCTAAACATATCTTTTTCATTGATATCTGCACCATGAGAGATAAGAAGTTCGACTGTTTCTTTACTATTATTTCTTGCTGCATTATGAAGAGGAGTTTGTCTAAACATATCTTTTTCATTGATATTTGCACCATGAGAGATAAGAAGTTCGGCTGTTTCTTTACTATTATTTCTTGCTGCATTATGAAGAGCGGTTTTTCCGTTTTTATCTTTTGCATTGATATTTGCACCATGAATAAGGAAATATTCGCAAAGAGATGGAATACCAAACGCTGATGAATGAATAAAGCATTTGTTAACATCATTAGTTTGATCGAAATAAACAAAAAATGGTTCAAGATTATTATATTTTACACAATGATAATAATAAAAATATAATAATAATTGTTTAATCTTGAACTTTTAAATCATAATAATAATTGAACTTGTTTAAAACGATATAATAATAATTGAATATAATAATTAAATAGGATTTTCAACTAAATACTTATATTGTTTTCAAATTATTTTAATATTTTAAAATCAATGTATATTTTTCAAAAAATAAGTGAATTAAAAGACAGACATTGTTTAGTACATATTAAACACCTTTCTATTTGATTAAATAACATATATTTAAGCTTTTTTTACTGAAAAATCTAATTTTCAGGGATATAACTCTGCACATAATGATTATTTTATATGTGGTGCGCGCCTCTGACACATGTTTTAGAATGGGTTTGAAATAAAATAATTGATTTTTCCAATTAGATAAATATCACAATAATATTCAAAGGGATAATAGCATTGTTATAATACAACGATATTCCAAGAGATTTGTTGAAAAATAAAATATTTTTGAAGAAAGATTAATTCGTGACAAAAAAATCTCAGATGATTACTCATCATTATTTGCTTGAAGTTCATTATTCCATTTTTCTAAGATCTGTTTCATATCAAGAAATCTATCTTGAATAAATTCTAACATTTCTTTGTTTGCTCCTTTCGGAAGTCTTGCTTTTTCTCTATCACTTGGTCTTGTTGACATGTCCATTGCCCTCATGTATATTGTGTGTATAGAAGACTTAATCGTTGAGACTTCGAAGTTTTTGAGTGTATTTCTTTGGATTGTTTTTACCAAGTTTTGTTTAGTGAAAGAATTCTTCTTCTTTATTTGATTAAGTCTATTTAGTTTTTCATTATAACTCATCGTTTTCTCAATAAGTTGAGATTTTTCTGTATCAAGATCTTTTTTCATAGCTTTTTCTCGATCTCCTTTAGTATGTATTAATTGTTGGTATTTTTCTAAGTATTGCTGCCTCTCCTTCGTTAAGTTACTATGCCTATACAAGAAGGCATCAGGATTATCATAATGTCTGTCACTTTGAACGACATTTTGCATGTAATCATTGTATGGTTGAAGCTCTTTGATTTCATTTTCAAGGCTTTGATTCTGCTCTTTGAGTTTCTTCTCTTCTATTGATGCAGCGTATAAACTTTCATTAATATTGTCAATTTGTTGTTTGGCTTCCTTTTCACGTGCACGGCAATTAGCTATCTCAGCAGACTGTATTGCAGCGAATTTATCGAAATTACGTTTTTTCTCTTGTAATTGTTGATTTTGAATATCTAATTCTTTTTTCTTTTGTTGGAATTGTACTCTCCATTGCTCAAATTTATTTCTTGTCTCATTTAATTGCTGATCAATTTCTTCAGTTTCTTTCTCTTTTTCCTGAATATCTGGTGAAATTGCTGCCAAAACGTTCCTTTTTTCTTGAGTTGTGCCTATTTTCTCGAGGTATTTGAGTTCAAATGTAGTAGGCTTACGTTCTGCTCTTGTTAAAAAGGTTTGATCCATATAAAAAAATTCTAAAACTTTTTTTTATAACATCCGTTATATCATCTCCTAAGACTGAGAGATAGATATTATGCTTTCCTTTAACTATTAATTTATTATCCAGGAGTTGAGCTTGCTTATGGTGTAATTCCAGATTTCATTTTTCAAATTTCAAAGAATAAGACTACATATCTGAAATACTAATACATAAAAAATTAAACTGTTTAATAAAATAAAAGTAATAATAACATTAATTTTCAGGCAATGGGGGATTGGCTGTAACGTTTAGTATAGCTACACGCGAAGATCCAACTGGATTGACCCATTTGCACGTATTGATTGATTCTTCTGTGGAGTTAGCCGTAAAGCTTCCTTCTTTATTTGAAACAATATGAACATCACGATGGTCAACGTCAGATAGTGCTGTTTGATTGATCGTATTCTTAATTTCTTCCTCTGTAACTTCAACAAATCCGTGGCGTGTGAAATTGCCCTGTTTATGAAATAGTCCTCCATCTACGGCAGAAATTCCTAACAAGTGAGCGAATGGATGTTTATAAACTTTTATCACTTCATTGGAAACCCATTCAACACCAACAACTGGTAAGTAATTTGGATATAATTGAGTTATTCTGAGAGCATTCCAAAGTTTATGCTCGAATCTTCGATTGACATTGTTCTTTTTACTGAAGTATGATTCTCTAAGATTGGCTAAAGATACAGGTTTATTTTTCCATATTGAAGGTATAAAGCCAAGTGAGACGGGGTCTAAAACCTCAGCATTCCATAAAGCACTTAATGCTTCTGCTTCTTTGGAACCTTGTACAGTCAAAACATCTGGGGCTAGTTTGCTATCCTCCATTTGAATGATTGGATATTGAGAACAAAAATTGAATACTTTTTTCCCGCCAAAAATAATCATCCAACTTTCAGAGTGTGTTACTCATGTCTCGCTATATTCTTGCAAATATAAATTAAAATGAATAGAAAATATTGCTTTCTGTTGATAATCCAAACAAATAATCTTTTAATTTCGGATGATTAAGTCAAAAACATAGCACAAAACAATTTTATTGCTATTTGAGAATCTGTAGCCATATGTTTATTACACTATGTAAATTTAAATCTTATGAGTTTGAATTACTGTAAGTTATTTGTATAAATATTCTATGTTCGATGAAGCCAAGGCTCGTACAAATGCAGTGGACATGAAGTAGTGGAAAAGACGATTATTGTAAACTTCACATCAAACTCATTGAAGGATTATTATTTTCATCTGGAAAAATGATAAAATCGGCACTTCCAACTATCATACATTAAGAGCCATTAAATAAATGTCCATGTGAGAGGATAAACAATAGAATCACTGAGAAGCCCGACTAAAATGATAATTTTTTTCACTTTTTTACTGCAGCAAAAGATAATATCAATTGAATATTATGATAAAATCTTGGTTTGATGATTACTAGAGTGTAGTAACAAGAATATAACTATTTTTTATGCTTATATTAAATTAAATTATAATTTTTGATCAAATCATAATTCTTTTAATGCTCACACTCATTGAATATCAGTGAATTGTTGATTTTTTTCAAATGCTATATTCCATGATAACAGATTGTAGCTAGAATATATATTTCATCATTATAAAAATTTAATATCATTCTTTTATGTTGCAGATATGATGAATAACTAAATAAATAATTAATCTGATGCATTATATTACCATATAATAAGATCTTAAGTGATGTATTCAAACCATAACTGCTCTCTCAAATCAAAATTCAGACTCAAATCTGTATTTTTGCCTTTTGTCAAAATTGCCTTTTTTATATCGATATGAAGCAAAGTCATACTTTTATTGCAACATTAAGTGATGCATTTAAACATCAACTGCCCTTTCAAATATAGAATTCATCAACTGATTATTTCAAATTTTAACTGCAATTCAAAAAATTGACATTTTGAGAGGAGTTAAAAAAATACTTCATTTCTTCTAATGCTTGCTCAACAGTACGAATATAAAGCATTCCTTGGATGGATGAGAGAAACAGGAAACATGTTTACAGGCGATGAATATCATTCGCGCTTTGGAATATGGCTTTCAAATAAGCGTTTCGTTCAAAATCACAATCGTGCAAATCTCGGATTCACACTTGCACTTAACAAGCTTGCTTATTTATCACCAACTGAGTACAAAGCCATGCTCGGATTCCATAATAAAGGAGTTCATAACATTGCCATCAAATCCAATACAATTGCTAATGATGAAATCGACTGGCGTTCCAAGGGAGTCGTCAATCCTATCCAGCATCAACAACATTGCGGATCATGCTGGGCATTTTCTGCAATCCAAGCTCAAGAATCCCAATATGCAATCACATATGGCAAACTCCAAAAGCTTTCAGAGCAGAACCTTGTTGATTGCGTTACCTCATGCAATGGATGTCACAATGGTTTAATGTCAGCCGCATACGATTACGTAATTCAATACCAGGGTGGAAAGTTCATGCTGGAAACGGATTATCCATACACAGCAGTTGAAGGAACATGCAAATTCAACCAAGCAAAGGCTACTTCGAAGATTGTTTCATACATTAATGTTGTTGAAGGGGATGAAAAAGATCTTGCTGCAAAGGTTTCCGCTTACGGTCCATCAACTGTTGGCATTGATGCATCCCATTATACATTCCAACTTTACTCACATGGCATTTACGACGAACCACACTGCTCATCTTTCTCTCTAAATCACGGTGTTGGCTGCGTTGGCTATGGCACAGAAGGCACAAAGAATTACTGGATTGTCCGTAACTCCTGGGGTCTTGAATGGGGCGAGCAAGGCTATGTCCGCATGATCAAGGACAAGAACAATAATTGTGGTATTGCTACAGTTGCATGCATCCCCATTGATAAGTAAACATTTTTCAATCAATTCCTTTGATTTATTCATTTCTTTTTCTTTTGAATCTAACTCTCATGATACTTTTCCAATAAATGACAACAAATGTCTCATATTCCATTATCACATTTATTAAGGATATATTTTCGCCCATATGACTTTAATTCAAATTTCTGGCAGCATGGTTGAAGTCTTTTCATTTTGAAAGTATGCCTAGTACACACCCTTTTAGAATATATGTTTATTAAAATAGAATAATATACTTTCTGATACTTTATGAGAATACGTCAAAAATATATTCGGAGTATTATTATTGTCGTCTGGCGGTTTTATAATTATATAGCTACTCCATATATCATGCGTGTTTACACACCATATACATAGATGGAATTGATGTTCTTCTTTTATTTAGGTACCAAATATGCTTGTAAAATCTCTTTTCCAGACGACAATAAAACATCCTCAATATATTCTATCAGTTTGATTAGATGCCTATTAATAGATACATACATACATTCAAAGAAATTTTAATGATCTGCCAAATGAAGTGGAGTTTTACAATACAATTTTTTACAAAAACTAACAAAAAAATAAGATAAAAAATTTAAAAAGTAATTATATCTTCGATAAAGTGCTCGTTATCTATTTCGACATGTTCCTCTTCCATCACTTGAGTATCATCATAATTGCAGAAAACTCTCGGAGTCTGCGAAATCTCCAATTTCTTCGGAGAAATCGAAATAATTTCAGGTCTTTCAACAACCAAATTTTGTTGGATGAAAAGTTTCGAAGGTTTCCTTTCAGGGACTTCTATAATCAAAACTCTTCTGTGCATAACAACTTTTGGTTTCGGAACTGGCATTTCATCGACATTGTTCAAATCTAATTGCAAAAGAAGCTCTTTTTGCTTGGAAGGAGATTTATGAACCTTCTTCTTCGCGGGAGATTGTGTTTCTTCAAAATTGTCGAGTTCTAATTCGACTAATTCCGGATCTTTCAAAATCTTCTTTTTTTCTGGAGAAATCTTCTCAGGAGATTCATCAACATACTCGTATTCGTACTCGTATTCCATTTCTTCTTCATTTTCTTCAAGATTAATTTTGGTATTTTTGGTATTTTTCTGATTTGGAGAATCTTGAAGGAGAGGATCGTTTGAAATGCGAGGAGGAGTTGTTGGAATGATGATTGGTGGTGGTTTCTCAGGTTTTTTATCGTCATTAAACAAATTTTCTCTGAGAAACAGGGGTTTTCCTGTTCTTGGTGATTCGGGGTTGATCTTTGGTATTGGCTTTTGACCTTTAGCAAGTTCTTCGGTAGGAATTGGTTCATCGGCGTTTGGATATTCATTTGATAATTTTGATAAAGTCGAAAGTGACTCATTTACCTCTACTTCAGGCAATTCGAAGATTATCTCCTCTTCCTCTTCGAATTCTTCGTCATTCTCAATGACAAATGCTGTAGGAGGTTTGAGATTTCCTGTAATAACTAATGGTTTCCTCGGAGGAGGGTCTAAAGTATGGAATTCGGCTGTTTCGTCTTCATCATCTATTTTCTCTTCATCATCTGAATGAGAAACTCTCTTTGGAATGTAAATTGGCTGTGAATTTGACTTTTTCGTGAAAGCGCCGCTTGTTTTCAAAGGAGATTGCACTGCAGGGGATGGTAATGGTCTTCCTATTGGAGATACAGATGGAAGATGCGGTAATCTTGTAATTGTCTTGAATAAAGAAGTCATTTTCGAACTTGTTTCTTGATTCTTCCATAAATTGCGGACATTGAACTCAGGAACAAACAAATCATTATTCTGTAATATCTTCTGGTCAGTAATTTGGAATTCTGCTATCAAATTTTGATTAATTTCTGATTCTATCTTTTTCGGATGCTGTAACAACTTCGCGCAATAAGGAGATTCAGGATCTAACTCAGCACCACTCGCCGCAACAGCTAATTCTGTTCTAAAAGCTTGCATCATGTTAGATTTCGTATAAGGATTATTCAGAAACGCGTTATCGATAATTTGAATCAAATTTCTCGATAATTCTGTATTAGAACGATCAACTTCTAGAACACTCCGAATCATTGCGGCACATGCGATCAAAACAAAGTTATTTGCAGGTCTTTTGAGCAATCTGTACACGAAAAACTCTATATACTTGTTTCCGATCATTACATTCCACGCTGCAACGTATAAAAGAGAATATTGAACTAAAATATCAGAAGATTTGAAACAATTTATCACAGAAAGTACTGAATATCCTAATGCCTCATTGGGTTCAATGTTTAAACCAAGTCTTAGTACGATAGCTCTTTCTAGATCGTCAGATGCGTCTTGTAGTATGAGAGGAAGGGCTTTTGACACAAGATAGAATAACTCTGATCGATTTCCGAACTCGTTGAAGTAAATACATAGCACTTCGAGGGCTTTTTGACGTTGGATTGGATTTAACCTTGGAAATGTCATTTTCTTGGCAGTTTCTTGGTTGATATCGTGCGGATAGATATTGCCTGTACCATGTTCGTCCATTAATGAGGCATAAACTGTCCAAATAAATGTAATATCATTATTTAAACGAGGAACGAACCTGGAAGCAAAATGGAACACTGCAGGATACTGTAGAGAGTTCGTTATTGTTGGTAATATCGTTAATGACTTTGAAAAAATTCCAATTAAATCTTCTGGCCATGTATCAAACGCTTTTAACATAATTTGCATGATACTTCCGAATACATATCGATGTGTGGTTTGTGTTTTGTTCAAAGTATCTATTAAATACTCTGTTAAATCTATTTCTTCAACAAATTTTTGTAAAATTAACATATTTGGGGAAATACATAAGCCCAAAATGTGTCTATCAGTCTGAAAATCTTTAGAAGTTTGTAAAACATCAATCATTTTGTGGACAACTTGTTTTTTGGAAAATAAATGAACTAATTTTTTATTTTTATTTCGCCATTGCGCTTGAACATCATCGCATCTAAGCAAAGTATGAAGTGGTGGATTTTGTAAATCTAAATAATCTTCAACACTGTCGCTATTCTTGATTGTTTTTCGCGACATTGTCACCTTTATATTTCACATTTGAAATCCTATTCAGGAAAATTGATATTCTGAGTGCAAACATATTAATTAGCATCTTATCCACGATACAAATTTTTATTTGAATAATTTTGTCAAAAATTTTTGTCACTTTTAGGTTGAACACTTCAAAATACAGATTTTTAACGAAAGCTATCCAAAATATTTTACTCATATCTCGATATTAACTTCCATTTCGACACTACTCTATGTTATATTCATTACATACATTAAATCGAAAGATTCAAAATTTGATTCATTTAGATCTCTTCCAAATTGCTTATTAGACAAATATCCATCGCCAAACAGTACAAAGAAAGATATTCTCTTTATGTTTGCTGATAGAATCCAAAAAGGACTTGAAATATTAATATCATCCTTAAGAAATACAAATACAAACTGCAGGATCATTCTTTTCATACCAAAGAACCTTCGACTTTACTCTCGACATGTTAAATTTTTCAAAGAAAATAATGCAGAATTAATTAGAATTCATTATAACAAAAAAATCTCACCCCATATGTTCAGGTATTCATGTGAATTAGATTTCTTAAAGAATACAAAGGATTTCCCTGAAAGAATTGTTCATATTGATTCGTTTGATTCTTTTTTCCAATATGATACATTTATTAATGTTTCATACTCATCGATTACTTTTACAGGTGAAGGTTATTTGATCAAACAATGTAAATGGAACAAAAATTGTATAAGATCTTGTTTTGATGAACAAACATTGAAAAAACTTTGGGGAAACGAAATAATCTGTAGTGGATCAATTTATGGCTCTGCTACTGAATATAAAAAGTTTTTAGAAGTAATGATAAAACAGAATGAAATTCACGAATATAACAAAGCATCACTAGATCAAGCACTAGTTAACTAAAAAAAAAAAAAAAAAAAAAAAAGGTAGTGGGGCTTCCAGGCACTTCGTGCCCTCTAGCCCCGAAGATGTTTAGAATATGAGAGAGGTCCTATAAACCGGAGAAAGTGTCATATAAACATCTGTCATTTTACTCAGAATTTTCATGAAATTTACACCAAAAATATATTTTAGGGTAGAAGGGTATATCTACCCCGTTTTCTACCCTCTTTTCTACCCTCTTGAATTTTCATGAAATTTACACCAAAAATATATTTTAGGGTAGAAGGGTATATCTACCCCGTTTTCTACCCTCTTTTCTACCCTCTTGAATTTTCATGAAATTTACACCAAAAATATACTACTAGGGTCATTTACGAAGAAATCTCAACAAAGTCTTTACGATGAAGTCTTGACAAAGTCTTTACGAAGAAGTCTCAACAAAGTCTTTACGAAGAAGTCTCAACAAAGTCTTTACGAAGAAGTCTTAACAAAGTCTTTACGAAGAAGTCTTGACAAAGTCTTTACGAAGAAATTCATGAAAATTCAAGAGGGTAGAAAAGAGGGTAGAAAACGGGGTAGATATACCCTTCTACCCTAAAAATATTTTTGGGTCATTTACGAAGAAATCTCAACAAAGTCTTTACGAAGAAGTCACAATAAAACATCTGTCAAAAACCGTTTTTTACTTCACTTAAAATGCCACGTAAGCTACGTAAGAATATACGTAAGAGGAAGGGAGCATTGAAACATCCAATAGTAAAAACTGACACCACAACAACAGTTGCAACAACAAATGATGAATGACCCCACTATGTTGCAACAAATGTCAAGCAACCCTATGCTTTTAAACCGAGTTATTGGTGCACAGAGTGGAGGTTTAAGAGCGGCACTTTTAGCGAAAATGGCAGGCTATGGTGGAGCTGCAGACGGAACAGCCTATAACCCTCAAAGTCAAATGAATTTGAGTTCACTCAAAAATCAAATATCAGATGTCAAAAAGTCAAACATAGACATACAGAAGCAAATAAGTGAAAACGAAAAGAAACTAGAATATGACAGACACACAAAGAAACTCAATGAGTTAAACGTAGAGAAAAAGAAGAAAGAAGAACAACTGAAAGAACTAAGTACAGAGGAATATGCGAAAAAAGTGTCAGAAAAAGCAGCAGAAGTAGCAAAAATGGAACAAGATGTTGTAAATTTGAAAAACCATACTACTCAATATAAAGTACTGAAAGATGAAGAAATAAAACAAAAAGCCCTGAAGACATATATGGATAGCGATGAGTATAAAAAAGAAGTTGAAGCAAATGTAAAGGCAGAAAAACTTTTACAGTTGCAAAACCAAACCGTACAGTATGAAAACTTAGCACAAGAAAGTAAAAATAACGACGCAGCCATGCAAAAGGCAATGAAAAGCGCAGAATATATAAAAGCTAACAATGACTGGTTAGATGCCCAAGCCAACGCTAAAGCAGCCCAGCTTATAGGGTCAATAAGGACAAAAATACAAGCGGATGAAGACAGTTCAAATGAAGCTTTAACAAATGCTGACTTTAAGAACGCCTTCGAAGCTCTTCATAGTAAGGTGAAACAAGTGAACGACTTCTCATCTGGAAAGAAACTGAAGTCTGAAGGTTTCGACAACGAGTTAAAAGAAGTAGCACAAAATATGACGAAAATAACAGATGCAGCAACGAGACAGGCAGTTCAAAGTGCCTATGACGCCGTTAGAGCAACTGTTGTGGAAAGTCAAGAAAAAGAGTTACAACAGACCAAAACAGACCTAGTAAATGCTTTCTTAAGAACGAAAAGTCAGGTAGGACATTATGCTGCAGATGGAACATATGTGCCAGCTGGTGGAACTTATATACCACCAAACCCTCCAAGAGAAGCACCTGCACCAGGACTACCTAAAACATTTACATCGTCACATGGACACAGACACAGGCATGCACCAAAACCAACACAACAACAACAACAACCAGCACAGCAACCAACAGTTCAAAACCCTGCACAACAACCACCTCCACAACCAGCACAGCAACCAACAGTTCAAAACCCTGCACAACAACCACCTCCACAAACAGAGCAAGGACATAAAAGAAGTAGAGAACAAGGAAACCAAGAATTCTTAAAAATGCTTAAAGAAGACTATGGTTACCCAGATACTATTGACTTTAGTGACAGATATAAAGAAGCTATTAGAAAGTTCAAGGATGGAAATACTGACCCGAACCTATTTAGCTTTATGGCTCTGCACCAAAGGGGATATAATTTCAAACCTGGAAAATACAAGCTCGCTAAGGGATATGATTTAATAGCATATCATCCAAATGACATGAACGAATTTACTCCGAGATATTTGATGTCAGAGCTAAATGACAATTTAACTCTCTTCATGAAACGCGTAAAAAATAGAGACGGAACGAAAGAAGAAAGGTTTATGAGTCCGGATGACTTAGAAAGGGAACTTGTTGAAAACGGTCTCGGAATATATGAAATGCCAGCAGATGAGGTACAAGAAACTCCACAGGAAGAACTAGTTCAGATACAACCAGACATGGAAGAAATAGTTCAGCAACAACAGCTAGAAGAGCCTGAAGGAAACGAACAAGTCACTCCTTTGGAAACTAACTTCACAGAACTAGATGAAGATTTGGAACAGCCGAAAAATCTTGACCCTCAACAAGAGTATGCGGAGAATATGGAATATTTCCAAGAGTCTAAAAAAAATTCGGCTGACATAGTAGAAGAATATCGAAAAATGTTTGCCGACATACAAAAGACTCCAACATCAGATGAAAATATCCAGCATAGAATGGAAGAACTGAAAAAAAATGTACACAAATACAACAACCCTTTTTACTTACGAGCATTTAACGTTCAATCTTCGGATGAACTCGGTGAAAATAAAAGGTTAAATTTCAAGAAAACATATAGAAATGAAACATTGTTTAAAGTTCATTCAGAACCTAGCCAATATGGAAACAAACCTACTTTTGTTTCTGCAGACGATGGAACTACAATGAGATGGGGTCATAAAGCTAATCCGGATAGGTGGTTCATAAACTTACAACCACAATTCCAAGAAGTTGTAGACGCAATGGAAGTGAATGGTGAACCAGATGTAGCTGGTATTTTCAGCGCGGCTTTAATGCCATTGAAAGATATGAAACATGCAGATATTTTGGACCAGTATGAAATGAACATGGCTGATGGAAATATAACACCTGACGTTCTAGAACATTTATCTCAAAGAACTACACAGAACCATAGAGATGGTATATTTGGTGAAGAGTTTAGAAAGAAAGTTAGGGAGGGAGAAGGAAGAGAACCTATTGTACATGACCTTGCAAACGAAAGTTTACAAAATGTCATAAAAACTTACTTTGCAGACAATGAACCGAGAAGGGATGAATATTTAAGAAAACTCAAATGGACAGTACCAAATGAAATGTTAGTATTGAAAAACATGTTCCTTGACAAAATAAAACCAACTACAGAAATAAACGACGCAAGACTGAAAGATTGGGTAAAAGCTTTCCCATTCACAAAAGATATAGTTGGTAACATGGAAAAAAACCAGAATGGCTACAAAAACATATATTTGGAAACGAGCTTATTCCATATGGACAGGCACTGTTTGAAGAGCTTGAACCGGAAACTCAGGAAAGAGTCATGCAAACAATACGCGAAGACTCAAATACAGACTATGACAAACTCTTTCTAGGATATAGGTTACCTGAGATGGGCGACCAGAGCCAAAAGGCAAAAAGGACATGGGAAATTTGCAACATACTAGATGAACATAATGCAAAGATGCAACAACTTCAAGCAGAGGGCAATGAAGGAAAAAGAAGAGTTAAAAACTCAGTCAGGAAGAAAGTAAAGCTTGGTCGGAGTGGGTTCTATTATGACATATAAATCCAACTATTCTATATTTTTACTCATATGAAATGTACGCCGCTCAGAATATAACGCCAACAGTTTTGGATGCTATGAATGGAAATGTTTCCGAATGGTATAACGAATGCGACAATGCCATTAGAAGGTCAGAAATAGTTCCTGGAACTTACGAATATACAACTGCTGTTTCTTATGGAAATGTAGGTGAGTTTGGAGAAGGTTCTTCAACAACAGTAGATATTGCTTGCGACAGGTTTCATATAATTTCTATTGACAACTCTTTCTTATACGTGGAACAAGACATTGAAATAAAACCTTCTGCCAAGTTGTCTGACAAGAAAGGTTGCAATGGAATTTTCTATGTCGGATACCAATATGCTCCAGAAGTTTTCATGGGATATAAGATATATTCTAACTCTGACTTAGTTCAAACAGTAACATGGGCAAACTATGAATGGTTCGCTTTGAGAAACTCAGTACAACCACAAGCTAGAGAACAAACAGACCAGTATGCAACTATTGAGAAAATAAGAAGACTTGACCCTAACGTTCCAGGAGTTTATGTTAACCTTTCTGGTTCAGATGGAAATGCAGTAACTAAAGTAAAACTGAAACTTAGAGTTCCTTTGTCATCTTTCCTCATCTTCAGGTTTTTAAGATACTTGCCAAACTGGGCAGGAAAAATTTCTATTGAACTTACTCCAAGCAAAATAACTTAGTCATTGCACCAACACAAGACCCATTCACTCTTACTGTAGCTGGAACTGGTGGAGCCAAGTTCTGTGACTTTTGCAAAGACAAAGTTGACTTAGACTTTGTTTCTCAAACTTCAACACTGAAGTAAACTATTATTTCAATGCTGCTGGAACTGCTTGGGACCCAGTTAAGTTCACATCGAAAAATTTGAATGCAAGAGAATAGAAAGCAGACTTGCAGTCTATATGTTGGACCCAGATATTTCAAATGCTTTAGCTGCCAAATATATTGCAGTTCCACTTATGTTCCCTATACACCAAATATCTGTCAAAGACTTTGCAGGTGAAGTTGGAAACCAAAGTGCTGACCCAGGTGCAAGAACAGATATTGCTTTAACAACTGCAATGAAACATGCAGATACTCTGTTTGTACTGTTCAGACGAACTATAAATGACTATTCTTGTTTCTACAACCCTGGTATTAAATATCATATAAACATAGATGGCAAATATTATCCAAGAGAAGAATATTCTACAGTTGAGGATATGAGGTCATACAACTTGACATTAGATGCTATGAACTTTAACAACAACTTCACAACAACCATTAACCCTGAAATGCAAAGTTCTATTATGCCATATGTGAAAGTATGGACTCATACAGGAGGTCAAAAAACTCAATATACAAATGGAGACCGTTCAAACTTTTGGCTTGGCATTCCATTTGCTGACTCAGAAGACTTTATGGGTGGTATTTCAACTGTTGGTACTGTACAAATACAATATACTGGTGACAGAGACGGTCCATATGAACTGAGAGCAAAGAAGTTTACAAAACCAATAGCACTTTTCACGGAAGATGCTCTTTTGAAGATTCGTTCGATGAAACCTGCTGGGGCTCCTCAGATTGGCATAACGACAGCTTCCATCGAGCAGATTTTGGCAGCAGGTCAGTAAGTTGTTCTGAACTGACTTCTCTCCGTCAAATATTGACAGTACGCCAGTTTTGATATAATATTGTATTATAAAACTTACCTTTAGAAATATCGGTCAGTTTTGTTGCTATATTTTTGTCAACGTCAAAACTTTCACCATCTCGGTTATACCAACTTTCTTTGCTTTATGAAAATATTTTGGTTCAGCAAAGACTGCTATTCTATAACATTACCATTGTTTTATAAAGAACTATTCTGTCAATGTATTTGTATTGTTTGTGTGTGTAAACTTTGTTTTGCTTCAATTCGAAGAGATACTCAAATACGTCCATCTTTTTATTCTAAGTAAAATGTCATTTCCGAAAAATAGAAGCGTAAGTGTTTCAAAAGGTTTAATGGCGATGGCAGATGTGAAGTTAAATTCACCAACTCAAACAAACAGTCAAAGTGTTGTTGTCAATGTCAAAAAAGAGATGTTGAAGTGGGGAAACCATACGAAGACGAAGATGGTTATAGCAATTGTTCCTGTAAAAGAACAACCAACATATCCTGAAGTTAGCAGAGACTTAAGTTCTGTTGCAGATATTCGAAACGACTACCAACAACTTAAAGACAAACTTAAAACTCAGGAGAAGATTTGTCAAGCTTTGGTATAATGTTAAACTTGGTCGAACACAACCCTGTAAAAGTGAACTCATATGTCATTGCACCTCATGAAGTTTTGAAAGAACTATTGAAACTTTTGACAGAGGCAGACGATATAAACATCAAAGAAATAGAACCCGACATTGCTTGCTGTGGTGTTTCATATAATGTCATTGACAAGATATACGTTATGAAAGGAGGTGAAACGTTGAACTTAAAATATAGTTTCCCAGACGTCATAAAAATATTTGACGACCACAACATTTCATTAAAAATTTACTTGCTAAGTAAATGGCAGAAGACATAGTGGTTTATACTATTACGACTAAAAACCCTGAGTCATATAATTCTATAACAACACACAACTTACAAAGTCCTCAAGGACGATATTGTAAAACTAACCTTAAACACAATGACGACTAAAGCCTGTTTTTGCTCTTTTGACACCAGACTTTGTTGTTGTGAATGGTAAAAAATACTTCTTTGAAGATACTTACTCAGATATACCACCAACAGGTTTTGTTGACTTTATTTAATACTTTAAGGACGGATGTAACATGTGCTGCAACTAGAGCAGGTTCATTATGTTTGGATGTCCGACTGAGTTTACTATAAACAATATGAGCTATAATACAAAACTTATTCTTGGTTTTTACTACAACAGTTTCCTATAACAGGAAAAGGTGTCATACAAGGAATGTCTGTTCCATTGACTTTAAGTACACCTATTTTATATATGTTTCAAACTTAGGTTCAAAGTGTTTTATTCGAATGTCGACAGAAACTATTATGACCAAAAGATACTTATGCGTATAAATACAATACTTTCTCTGCTGGTTTGCCTATTGTTCATTCGAATGCAGAATTTTCAACCTTAGTGAACTCAAACACTTTGGCAAGTATAACGTTGACATTAGTTGACGCAAACTTTGTTCCTGTAAAACTTTTATGTCCTATGTATTTGTCAATGACGGCAGAAAGTTTCGAATTGGAAGATGCAACTGGTGAAAGTATTGTACTACAAGAACAACTTCACAACAAAAATAGCTAAGAACAACAAATGGAACAAATGCAACAAATGCAACAACAAAGTCAAGAATAAAAAAAATATTTTTTTTTATTTTTATAAAAATGTACAGAATAGATGTTTCAGATTTTTATGACTTCCAAGCATTCAGAAATATGTGTCCATTTCGAGACTATAACAAAGCAGTCGAGAATTTGAAACGTTTAGTCATTTATGTCGACTCTGCCCCAGAATGTTATGTCATGAAAGAATGGGATGTTGTCTTTAACAAACAAGAGCGACAATAGTTTCAGAACAAGAATGTAGACAGAAACTTAAGAAAATAAAAGTCGTACAAGTTGGCATGAAGATGTTAGATGCTTGGGATATCTTATTGTCAAAGTTAGAAGATTTTTCAGTTCGTGGTATAAAGTTTTATACACCTTCTCCAAACTTCTATTCTATCTTCACTGGATATAAATATGAACAAGTAGAATGGAAAGAAAATATTATAGAAGCTTGGTTAGACCATGTCAAAGAAATTATATGCAATGGAAACGAAAGAGTCTATGAGTATATCTTATGTTGGTTTGCAAACATCTTACAACATCCAAGTGCTAAAAATGAAACTGCTCTCATTATAATTGGAAAACAAGGAACTGGTAAGAACACTTTCTTTACAGATATTTTGTGCAAACTGTTAGAAGGTTATTCGAACCCGAATATGACAAACTTAGAAAACATCTGTGGCAAGTTTAACTCCTCAATAGAGAATATGAAACTTATAGTTTGCAATGAACTTCAAAGTATAGATACAACAAAAGTTTTGAACTCAGATGCTTTGAAGAGTCTTATAACAGACAAAGTTGGAGTTGTTGAAAGAAAATATAAAGACCAAAGAGTTTGTGAAAATGTTGCAAACTTCGTCATGGTTTCAAACAACGCCGTTCCGATGAAGTTAGAAAGTTCTGACAGAAGATATGTAGTTGTCAGAACGTCAGAAGCTCATATGCAAGATACAGAATATTTTGACGACTTAGCAGAAACTTTGACATCTGACTTTTACAACCACTTGTTCTCATATTTCATGACATTAGATATTTCTAAGTTCAATCCAAGACAAATTCCACATACCGAAGAAAGACAAACATTGTTAGAAGCAACAAGAGTGTTTATGAACTGTTTATAGATGACTAACTTTGAGTGTTTAGATGAAAGGTCATTGTACGATGAATATAAACAATATTGCCAAGAGTATGGTTATATGACAGCGTCTAAACGAACATTCTTGGCAAATGTCAAAAATCTTTTAGATGTTCAGAACGGCGTATATACAAAGAAAAATTTTTCTGAGTAAATTTAAAAAAAATATTTTTTTATCCGATAGAAAAGATGACAAAATTCATCTCAGTAAACAAGTACATGTCAGGACTTAAAGAAGAACTAGACCCATTCACATATTTGAATGTTTACTTCTACCATTTTGAAAAGTCTTCATTCAGCAAAGTTTGGAACATCGAACCAGTTAAGTTTGCTATTGTGACTAAAAATGGTGCAACTTTTGAAGACTTAGACATAGAAGGTTTGTTAGCAGTCAAAGAAAATTTTGACAGAAGGTTCTCAAACCTTAAAGAAGGCAAAGCATACAAACTTGTTATACCTTATGAACCAAAGAAGACAGACGACTATGAATATTATGAGTCTAAGATAGTTGAAGTTCAAGGTAAATTGGGTAAAAAGATTTTAGAGTCTAAGCCGGTGTTTGCTCCTAAAGAGGAAGAGAACATTGACATTGACCCAGAAATGTTCTAAAAATAAAATTTTATTTTTACATGTCAAATTTCTTTTTCTCTGGAACTGGTTCAGGTTCTTTCTTCTCTTCTTCTACTTTCTTCTCTTCTACTACTTTCTTTTCTTTCTTTTCTCTCTTCTTCTTCTTTTCTGGTGGAGTTATGTCAAATTTCTCCGAACCATATTTATGTAAAAGTTCTTTGTCCTTTAATAGCTCATCTATTCTGTTTTCTATTTCATCTTCAAGAACAGCGCATGTGTCTTCTTTGCATTCTAAGAACTTTTGTTGGACTTCATCTTTCCAATCGGCGTCATCTCTGTCAACAAGTCTGTCATTGACAAATTTTAAGACTGCTCTTTGTAATGTTTTATGGTTCTTGTCATATTCCCAGAAACAGAACTTTAGAACAAATTCACCTTTCTTGTTTACACTATGTAAGATTTTATGGTCGACAGATGTTTTGCTGTCGAAAAGCTTGTCTCGAATATAGATAGCGAAATCGCTAGACATTTTCAAAAAGATAAAAATTTTTAATTTTTCTAAAAATATGTTAGAAAAAAAGTTTGCTGACATTGACAAGAAAATTTGAGAATGTTTTAAATAAGAACAAGAGGAAGTTAGAAAATGCTCAGATAAAACCCATACATGACAAGTTCCTATTTGCTCAGAATGGTATAACAGGTCTAATCGCACCACCTGGGTCGGGTAAGACTTTCACTTATCTTAAAATGGCTGCACAACAACAAGAACTAGATGAGAAGAACCCATTCTATGAGTTAGTAGTCATTTGTAGTACTTCTGGTAAATTTGACCAAACCGTCAATTCGTTCAAAGATATTATAAAAAAGTCTAAGTTAGTATGTATAAAAGACTCTGAGTTGTTAGATTGGATAAAGAAGTACCAAAGAAGAGTTTTGAAGTACAATGCTATAAATGAGTATGTCAATTCGAGGTTTAAAGACCCAAATGAGGAAATGCAGAGAATATTAGAGAAGAAACACTTCAGAAACAAACAGAAAGAGATAGAATACATTTCGAAGAAATTGCAATCTTACGATTGGAAGACTTACCCTCACAGATGTCTTCTTATCTTAGATGACTTTGCTTCTCATCCTTTGTTAAAGAACAGAGAACAAGATATGTGTCGAATTCTTAAGAAGCTCAGACACTTTAACATCTCAGTTGTCATTTGTGTACAGACAGCAAAGAGTTTAAGTAAGGATGTTAAAAGAATACTTACTGATATCATACTTTTCCCCGGATTGTCCGAAGACGATTTCATGGAACTTATGAAAGAGTCCATGGCAGGTAAGTTTGACAGACATGAACTATGGGAGAAGTACAAAGTCATACAAGACCCTCATACTTCTTTCAGAATTCATATCTACGCGAACAAAGTTCAAATTGTAAAAAGTCAAGCGTAAAAATGTAAGTGTTTAGTCTTAGTCTGTTGTGGTGCTGCAGCTTTCGGTTCTTCTGGCTTTGGAATGGACTCGGTTGGTGGTACGTCGGACATTCGTTTGTGTCCTGTCGGAAGGAAGAACTTTTCCTGTTGGAAGGAAGGACTCGGAATGTCGGAAGGAAGAACTTTTTCTGTTGGAAGGAAAAACTTTTTCTGTCGTTCGACCAAAAAGTTCTCAATTTTCGAAAATTTGAATGGTTTACGGACGAACAACAGAAATTTTTTTCCAGTTGTCAGGAAATTTTTTTCCAGTTTCGCGGAAATTTTTCTTGTCGGATGAAGGACTCGGAATGCCAGAAGGATTTGACAAGCCAATTTACCATCTAGAGCTACCTGAGCCATCTGAAGTCAAGCTTGAAAAATAAATGGTTCATTTACTCTGCTTGTTTGAAGTTGTCAAAATACTCTGTTATTTTTTCCTTTAACAATGACAAATCTTCTTTGAAGGTAAGTATTGTACAACCTTTCATATCATAGTGTGTTTGAGGTAACGTATCTTGAACTATCTGTTTAACATCTTCATTCGGTGTCATTGAAATCGGTAAGTTTTCGCGATAGAACCAATTTCTGTCAGATTTGTAAATCTTAGCAAGGTCGTAAAAGCTTTTGTTGTTTCTTCTGACTAAATGCAACATAACCATATCTCTGTCTTCTTCATTTTCCATCTCTTCAGTGTAAATCATATACTTATAGTTCTTTCCTTTCCTTTTGGTACCGAACGTGGTATTCTTTTCTGAATGTTTTTGTCTTTTGCTTCAAGCTTGTTCTCTAGCTCTTCACGTTCTTGTCTATGAATTTCGTCAAGAAGTTTACAAACATACCATGAATAGCGAGCTGAAGCCCATTGTGCCACATTATTTACAAGAAGTCTATGTACATAATATCCTCTCAAACCGTTTGGCAATTTTTCACGATTTTCATAGAGTTTTGGCGACTGGGGTTTTTTACCTACTCGCTGTTCTTCACTGTTTTCAGAAAAAAGTATGTCTCACTGTGCTTCATTTAATAGTTCAATAGTGCTTTGGTTCCTAAACCAGTCTTTAGGAAGCTTAGTATCTGGAGCAAAACATGCTGTCAAAATACTTTGCATTTGGTACATGTCATCTTTGACCGAACGAATGAGACGGAGTTGTTTGTTAAACTGAACCCACTCATATTCTTCATTTATAGCTTCATGAACTATAACTGTTGTTGTGTTCTCTGTTGTTGACATATCTGTCTTTATATTCCGGATAAAAAAATAAAAAAAAATAAAATTAGCGTTATTTTCTATCTTGTATAAAAGACCAAAAATAAACGCTTTACATGTATTTTTCAGCAACTTCGTCAAATAATTTTATAGCTTTACCTATCTCATCTACTTCAAACGTTTCTTACCTTTCGTGGGAGCACCATACATTTTCTCAAACTTTTCAAGTAGTTTCTGTTTCAGCAGCTCTCATATCGTTAACAAACACAACCTTAACTCTATTGACTATACTGTCATATCTTTGAGTTATATTATATGTTCTTCCTATCTTATATCTCTTTGTATTGAAGTCCTTCGGTTCTGAACGATGTAAAGTAAGCCTTCACTGCAACGTTCAGTATCGAATGAACCATATGTTATGAAATTATATCCAACAACTGGGTCAATCCAGAACAAAACTACTGGTATAAGACTTTTGTCGATGAGATATGCTGTAGTTCCATGAAATCTTACCGATATCATAAGCTCAGGATTTCTTGTCAAAATTTTCTGAGTTGAAGCAATTTTAACCCAGTCGTTTGTTTTCTTTCCAGATGGAGATATAATGTCTGACAAAGAATATTTTTGTATTTCTTTGAGTATCTTACGTTTAAATCACCAATTCTAACCATTTTGGTGTCATTGTCTATCTTTCTAACTGTTTCAAACTCAGTGTTTGACATTTCCTGTTCTTACATACAAAATAAAAAAAAATATTTTAAAAAAACTAGCTTTTATTTTCTATCTTAAGGAAATTCATGAAATTTGGTCATTTTACTCAGAATTCAATAAAATATATTTTAGGCGACCAGGTCACTCGGTCAACTAACATCTTTTTGAAAATAGTGACAACATGACATTTTGACAACAACACAGGAAATAAACTTCTTCGTATATGTTTTGTCAAGACTTCTTCGTCAATGAGTGTAAATGACCCAAAAATATATTTTAGGGTAGAAGGGTATATCTACCCCGTTTTCTACCCTCATTTCTACCCCATATGTCCTTACTGAAAAAGTATGTGTTCCATATGTCATTTTACTCAGAATTTTATACAGAATTCAATAAAAATATATTTTAGGGTAGAAGGGTATATCTACCCGTTTTCTACCCTCATTTCTACCATAACTATTTACACGCGTTTTACATGGTATATGTTGTGATGGTTCATGACTTTAAACAGTTTTGTAGCTTCTATTTCTTCACGAAGGATATCAAAAATTTTTAACTATGCCGAAGGTTTCTTTATATTTCTTCTTGACATCTGAAAGAAGGAAATCGTTAGCAGTTGGATAGTTTTTGTTCAGAAATGTCAACATGTCCATTTTATCTTCTGCTGGTTTCTCTACTTCTTTCTTTAAGTCAGTATGGTTTTTCTCATTCTTTCTATCTCTTTGACGGAGTAGTTATATTTCCTTGTTGCTGCTTTACATTTTGAACATTGTGAGTTCTTTTTGCGTTATATTCTGAAATTTGTCCTGCTAGTATGACTAAGGCGTAGATGGTTTTCTTTAACTCAAAGGTTGCTGGTTTTATCTGTTGGTTCCATACCTTACCTCTTCTATCTTTATCTCTTATCTGCCATACACACTCAGCAACTAACGAAACAAAGTTGTCGTAGGTCTTAAACTCTTCAGATTTATATATGTCAATGAAATATACCATATCGCAGTCTTTGTGGTTGTAATGAAATCCAAGAAACTCATAGTTTACATTACGTATGAACTTCTTTATTTCAACTGAGTCAGATGGTTTCACTTCTATTTCATCGAATTCTGGAATAGTGAGCTTTTGTTGTTGTATTTCAGGCAATTTGGGTAAATGGTCAATAATATCCTGCATTTCATAAAGATACTGTTCATTTGTTTCATCTTTCGCACTACAGTCTAAATTACTTGTTAAATTCCTGCTTTATCTTCTGGATTTCTGTTTCGAAAGTATATGAAGAAGGAATGAAGCTTTTCATCTCTACTAACATAGAAGTTGGTTCATGACTAACGAGTTTGGTGCTGTTGTTGTGACATGTTCTTACAATAAAAATAAAAAAATATTTTTGGTGGGACTACCTTTATTTTATTTCAGCACAAAATGAACGAGTTTGGTTTAAAAATACGGTGGAGCCAAAAATGGCTCGACCTCAAAACAAGCATTTTGTGTGTTTTCTACGAGGGTAGAAAAGAGGGTAGAAAACGGGGTAGATATACCTTCTACCCTAAAATATATTTTTGTCGAAAAAAAATGGTTCATTTACTCACAATATTTTTGTACAAAACGACCCCAAACTTTTAACTTCTTTTCTGCAGCTTCTAATGCTATCTTAGCGAGTTCATATTCTCTAAATTCTCTCTTTAAATCTTCTTGTTCCCATTGGTCTAGTTCGTATGGAGAATCTCTATAACCAGAACATATCTCACGTTCTGTTCTATTTGTTTTTCATGCATTTTTCTAACTTCTTCTTCAAACAAAGGTTTTGCATCTCTACTGTATCTTCAAGTTCTTCTTCATCTAACTTCTCATGAACTTTCTTGTCTATGGAGTCCATAATTTTTCCAATGCTATACAATATTTTGGAGAAGCCCACATTGCAATATAGTTTACGAGTCTTGGGTCTACATACATTCCTCTAACCTGTTTGATTTCATCCGGAATTCCTGCATGAAACTTTGTATAAAAAGCAACCGCCGTTTTCCGCGGGTTGGTATATTCTTCACAAAATGCTTGTTTTTGAGGTCGAGCCACTTTTGGCTCCACCTCTTTTTTCAACCAAAAACTCATTTTTGTCGAATTCAGCACAAATTTCATGAAAATTCAAGAGGGTAGAAAAGAGGGTAGAAAACGGGGTAGATATACCCTTCTACCCTAAAAATATATTTTTCAATACTTTTTTCAGCACTTCTCCGTAGTTATATATGAAAGACAATTCGAGATAAAAGTCGTAGTACAATGGAACAATATGTTGCACACCATTTGTTGTGAACAAACTTGAAAGTCAGAGAAACTTTACTAGGTGGTTCGTAGAATTTAGAAGCAAAGTCATAAAAGTCCTTACCGATACAAAGAAAACTGTTGTTGCTTGAACTGAAACTGCATGACACATGACATTTTGAGGGTCAAACACGTTTCTATAAACTGTCAAATCTGTTGGTGGGCGTATAAACCAGAACGGACCGTCAGGTGGTAATGGTTCGTTCTGGTTTAGTAACCGAAGAAATTGTGCCCAAGAACGTTTGTCTACTTGCCAAAATAAAAACTGTGTATCTCTTGGAGGGTTATTTTCAATCCTTTGAAATGAAACTGTGGAGTTCATCTTGTCATATTCTAGTTTCAGATAGTATGTTCCATTTAGTAAAGAATCGTATTTTTCTTGAAATTCCCAGTAGTATTTGTTTATTTGAGTTTGAAAGTCATTTAGAGTCTTCTCAAGACTTTCGTCTGAACGAACTGTAAAGATTCTCATTTCGTCAAATTTGTCTAGTAGACCGTCAGAACCTCTATACTGACCGTGAAAATATACTGCAAACATAAACGCGTTAGTTCTTTTTGAAAACAAAACTCTTCTAAATCCTATTGCCTTTGCATCTGAAGGACTTTGAAGCCAACGAATTGGAAAGTCAAAGCGGTAGGAGCCGGATGAAATTTCTTCATCTGATATAGTCCTACCGGCATTTGTGAAGATATAGTCTAACGGTTTTGTATCTGCTACTTTTTGTTCTTTGTTTTTCACCTGAAACATTTAATATATGTAAAAATATACTGTTTTAAAAAAAATGTTTTAAAATGGTATGCCATTTCATATTTCTCATCTAACAAACAAGTTGTCTGACTGCTTGAGGGTTAGGTTGGTACCATTCGAACTTCACGCTTGCAATTCCTTCAATCGCATTCAAAATATCTGAGTCGGAGTCAAACATTTGTTCTCTCTTTGTAGTCTTGAAGCGTCAAGAAGTTGTGCGGCTGTTGTGACATTGCCATGTGCATAGTATATATGACCGTCCAAATCTGTTACGGTTAGTCTGAGATTGTATCCTTTCTTATTTCCATCTTGAATTGCAGCAAGTACTCCCATGAAGCCTTCTTTGTTCTTTCCTTCGTCAAAGTTTACTGTAAAGGTTCGACCAGATGTAATTTGACTTCTAACTTCACGGTACTTTTCATATGCATATCTTGTTCTTTCCATGGGAGCATGTTTGTCTTCACCTTTTCCTTTTTTCCTTCTCAAAGGATGCAATTGTTCGTCATGTTTCCAGTAGAATCTGGCAAAGCCGTCGTGTCCTTCAACTTGAGGTTCACTAACATCGAAAGGCATGTCCATAAGACGTTCTTCTTCTAACCTCTCTAGTCTGTTTGGATAATTTGCACGTGCTGTTTCCAAGTCCATTTCGTAGCGAAGACCAGACAATTTGTCATAGACTTTTATGGGTCTTCCCTTCCTATATTTAAACTTCTTTGAAACTCTCCAACCATATCTTTCTAACTCTGCTTTTATTCTAGCAGACTTTCTATCCATTCTATGCAGGGGCATTTTTATAAAAATAAAAAAATACTGTTTTAAAATGGTATGCCATATAGCTTCTTGAATTTGTTAAGATATAGTCTAACGTATTTTCCATCTGTATCTCTAGCGTTTACATAAGCACAGCCTTCCTTAGTAAAACATACTTGTAATTTTCTATAGTTTACGCCGGTATAAAAGTAGAAAGAGTCTTGTTCTTCGCTATAGTAGTAAAACTCAAACGTATGCTTACATAGTCTGTAATTTCAATTGCTTCATCTTCTAGTTCGTCGACAAATTCGAATACAATATCTCGAAAATTGCTTTTTTCTTATTGTTTTTTCAGAACAAGTGACCCAGCGTAAGTTTTCAAGTCTATTGTCGTTTCTTATATGGTTTATATGGTCTACAAAAGGTAGATTGTTAGGGTTCGGTATAAAATGAGTTGCAATGACAACATGTTTAAGATAGTGTTTCCCACCAATCCTCATCCTAGCATATCCGTTATTTTGCTCCCATTCGCTTAAAACTCTTTTTGTCTTTTTGTTTCTGACTTCAAATGACTCACAACAGTGAATTTCATATTTCTCATCTAACAAACAAGTTTCCCAACGGTCTGCTCCAACAAACTCAGCGTACATTTCAAATAAAATAAAAAAATATTTTTTTTGAAAAATGTTTTTTCCTTTACTTAACATAACCACCAGCTACCATAAGTCTTTGACGCCAACCCATACCAGCTAATGAAGGTTGACTTGGTTTAGTTTGGAAACTAAACTTTGGTTTTGGTTTATCTTCAGTTTTTGGTTTTTCTTCTTCTATCGGTTTTTCGTCACTTTTCGGTTCCTCTGACTTTACCTCACCTGCAGGAACAGTTGTGTCGTCAACATCTTCGTAAATATCATATGCCATTTGTTTTTGTTTTCCTTTCAACTTTTTGTGTTTGTTGTAAAGTTTAGAATATTTCGACTCTAAGTCAATGAGATGTTCTATAATGAACTGTTGGTCAGTGAAGAATACCTTCCATCTGTTGTCTCGAAAGCTCCTTCAGACTTCAATATTTTATTTGTGAGAGTCTGTTTCTTTTTTGAGATACTAGCCGTTCCATTTCTATGAAAAGTGACTTTATAGTTAGGGTTTGTATTTCCAGACCTGGCACTTTCTATTATTGAATTTTTCTCTTCATCTGTAAGTTCTTTGACAGGTTTTGACAATGGTTCTGAACTTTTTGTTTGTGGTGTCAAATCTACCGTTTCAACTTCTTCGGTCATTTCATCTCAGTAAAAATTTTAGTTTGGTTTGTTTTCAACTGGTTGTTGTTGTTTTTTAAGTCGGTCTAAAACTTCCTGAGGTATAGGAAGAACTTGACAAACACGTGGTGGTAACTGCTGGAAGTCGACAAATCCATCTTGAGCCCATTTGTCTCAATGCTGTATTGTTCATTTCATCTCAGTAAAAAAATTTACATTCCCCACGTTTGAGGCGGTTGAGGTTGGTTATTGTTTACCCACTGTTGTGCATGGTTATATCCTCTGTTAAAGAATCTTTCACCTTGGTCCATATAGTGTCCTGCTTGGTTATAGTAGTCATTTGCTTTGTTATAATAGTTTCCTGCTTGTGTTCCTACATTGTCCATCCATCCTTGAACTTTTCCTCTTGTTTCAGGATTTGGAATAAGATTTGCTGCATCTCGTGCTACATCCCAACCTTTCTGTACAGTTTGTATAATAGGTTGTGCTTTCTCTTTAAGTATACCTAATGTACTCAAAATCTTCCTTCCAACTCCAAATACACCTCTGGCTATTGTTCCCACTGCGGGTAAAAATCTGGATGCAACTCCTGCTAATGCGCCAAATAAACCCATTTCTTATAGGATAAAAATGACGAATTCAAACAAGGACCCCTATGTTTCTAAAGCGACAAAGAAAGCACTCATGGTAAAAATCTTTAGTTCAACACCAAATGCTTGGTTTATGGATATCTTGGAAAACATTCCGAGGTATAGAGAAGATGGACCACCATACTGGCTAATATTTGTTGGTCAAAACACAAGATACTGTGAAGCCATACCATTACAGTCCAAAAATATTTTAGATGTGAAAACTGCTTTGACAATATTCGTTGACAAATACCATCCAACAAAACTGACATCTGACTGTGAAAGTTCTTTCAAATCAGACGATATTAAAAACTATCTGCGTTCAAAAAATGTAAACCAATATTTCATTGTCGACCAAAACCATTCTGCTCTTGGTGTCATTGACAGTTGTATAAAAATCTTAAGAGACTTAAACCAACCACAAGGTGGTGAGGTAGATGAAATGTCATATGACGACAAATATAGACACTTCTCCATGGCAAAGATGAGACAAGTTTTAAATATTTACAATAACCGTAAACAAAAAGGTTTGGGAAACCACTCCCCGAAGAAATGAAAAACAACCCTGACTTAGAGAAAGACTATATATTTAATAGTTTAGTCAAAAGAGACAAACAAGAAAGAATGCCAGGCTTCAAACTTCAGAAAGGTGACAAAGTAAAAATAGAAATACCTAAACGCGACCCATATGAAAATACTATTGACTATGACAACAATGGGAACTCGACAGGTACTCATGTTCGTGTTCGTAAAAATAGAAGAAAGTATACAAGAGAATATTATGAAGTTTTAGGCAAACATGGCAAAATGTACAGACTGCAAGCAGAAGATAAAACTACTATTGTCAGACCTCGTTTCAAACTTGTTAAGGTTCAAGGTGGTATACTTTCAAAGACAGTTCCTAACAAATATAAGACAACTCCTGACGAATATGCTAAAGAAGTTGAAAATGACGACTAAGCAATTCTATACCATGCACAAACTGTCATGTAAGGTGGCATGTATTTTTTACCTAGTCCTGTAGATGTTGTTGTAAAAGTATGTTGGTGGTTTCCTCCTGGTTCAGTTTGTCGAAAAGTCTTTTTTGCTGAATGGTTATAATCTGGAGATAAAACGTCATAGCCAGCTTCATACTCTGAGTTGTATAATGGGTGGTCTCTTAATGAGTGGCTATGGTCGCCAGAAAAGTTTGTTGTACCAGAATGACTATGTGGTGGCAAGTTGTCGACAGATATCGTTTTACTTCCACCTGTTTTCTTTGGAGTGTGTGCACAATACAAAAAACTTTCGAATATTTGAGTCCAAGTTCCAAAACCAAGTACTACTTCTGGTCTGGTAGAGTTCATTGACGTATAAATAGAACCAACCGGGTAAATGGTTTGAAGTATTTCTGTCTTTAATGTTTGAAGCTCTGTTTTGTCTGCTTTCTTGTCATATAAATCTTGAGCAGTGAATTTAACTTTATTTTCATCCTCCATGACATAAACATCTCTACATCTAATGTATCTCATCGTTGTTATGTCATCCTCCGATGTTAAACCTTGTGGAAAGTTAGGAGGTTTCCAATCTAATACATCCCCACCAGCTCCTTCAACCGTTCCTTCAATATTTCTATACTAACAGTTGCGAAGAAATCGTGTGTATGTCCAACGTCACTTTTCTTGTTTAAGGTTTCTTGTAAGTTTGTAATATTTGCAATGGTATGTGTATGTCCAACGTCACTTTTCCTGTTTAAGGTTTCTTGTAAGTTTGTAATATTTGCAATGGTATGTGTATGGTTCTTATCCGCTTTAAGGTCTAAACATCCTGAAACCCACCCTGTATCGGCTTTACCTTTTAAAATCTTTGTTGTCCGTTCATGGTACCATTCAACCATTTCTTTAATTTTTTCATCTTTTTCATTCACATATTCCTTATCTGCCTTCTTCACTAACGCACTAGCCACACGTGCTAACTCATCGTCAACATACTCTTTGTCAGCTTTGTTGTCAATATCTGCTTTCAAAAGAAGTTCATCTATAGGTTTCTCGTTTAAAGTTCCTTTTGTTGGATTTACACAGACAGTATGGTTCTTACTGTCTTGAAAACAGAAACTCATCTGTCAATGGGTTTATCGTCAGTTTTAAGTTTCCTTCTTTCAATGACTCAGATATCTTAGAATAGTTTGAAAAGTTTGTTGTGTTCTTATTTAGAGCTTGCATAATGAGTTGTCGGTTGTGTTGTATTTCTCTCATAGACGCTGTTTCTTTCGACATTTTTATTCTAGATAAAATATGCTTCCAATAGAAAAAGAAAATTCAAGAGTTGCTACAACTAAACCATTAGATGAACTTTTTACTAATGTCGGTCAAAAGTTTGAGACAGAGACCGTAAAGCATGAAGGCTATCGTTTTGACTACCCATTAAGATGGCTAAGAGACCCATCTGTCACAAAAGCTATTGGCTTTCGTAGAATGAAGTTTGTGTCTGTAGAAGATAAAAGTTTTCCATTTATTGTAAGGTTTCATATAGATTATATATCTGAAGGGAAACGAAAAATGTGGGAAGAAATTGAGCTAATACAAGTTGACCTTTCATCTTCTCTACAGACTGCGTTAAAAAATATAGAAGATAAAATAAATTCATGTTATGCAAAATATGCTGATGAATATGCAAATACCGAGAGCACACTTTATGTGAGAATTGTATATGACAAACAAAATTCACAAGTGTCATTTCAAATCTACGAAGACAATCCAAAGAAAGACGAACAAATATATACAGAATTCACTGCAATGTCATGGTATTATTTGCAAAGAATGTTAAATCAGAAAGTCAAACTTCCTTTAGCAAATATTTACAGTCGATATGCAAGAGATGAACCATATTTATTTAAAGATGTTTTCGACCCAGCTGCTATTATTGTTCATGCTTCATTTTCTGGCGCTCAAAACTCTTCTTATGCTTGGCAAATGACTTTTACGAAAAACCTACAAAGCTATATGAACCGCCGAGTGGAAGTATTTCAGACTTTCAAGTATGGTTTACTACAGATGGAAGAAAAAGAATAATTCCATTATACCATGCGTTTACTTAGAACTTAGTTTCATATACAACTACTATCGAACGGTAAAAATATAATTTTTTAATACGGTTGAGGTGTTGGATTTGGTTGCCAACTAGACTGTGGTGCAGGTTCAGGCTGTTGTATAACAGAGCTTGTTCTTCTGGTTCAGGGTCTTTAGGTATAATACCAACAAACTGACCTACTCTTTTACCAATATTTTTGACACCGTTCCAAATTCCTCTTCCTACGGTTTTTATTCCATTCCATATACCTCTTCCAACATTTCGAAAGAAGTTTCCTATCTTACTGAAGAAACCCATTTTACTATATGTAAAAATCTAATGTCCGCCTAGTCTCTTACGTTTCCTGTTGAGTTCCATAGCATTCTTGAACTGGAGCTCATACATTCTGTTTCTCCTCTGGTAGAAAACATATTCTGGGTCAACTCCTGTGTTCGCGTCATCTGCATAAAGTTGTTTATATCCCACTTCAGGGTTTGTATAAAACTCTTTCCATCTCATATTTGCATACCATGGTGGCAAACCTAACGCAGCGTCATTTGACATGGCAGTTTGCATTTGTACATCTGTTGGCACTTGACCATAGTTTGCCATTGCAGTTTGTATTCTAACTTCATTTGGAATATTCTCTGGGTTTGGTTGTCCAGGTTGCTGTGCATTCGCTAAGTTCTGTGCGTCCATTTAATATTAGATAAAAATATCTCTTACGAGTACATATGCTGAACATTTGCAGGCATTGGTTCATCTTCATATTCTCTATATCTTTCTGCCACGTCAAATAAGTAAATGACACAATGGAAAAAACCTAAAACAAGTAGTCCTATTTCAAACCACATTTACTTACTAGTAAAATTTCTTTGTTATGACACTTTCTCCAGTTTATAGGACCTCTCTCATATTCTATCTTATCGTATCTAAACTCATAGTCATGTATGTCCTCTAACCATCTCATGACACTTTCCAAACCACTTTTATCGGATGTAAAGTAAAAGCATGGATGGTTATGTAAAACGTCTAAAGTTTCTAAAGAGTCTCTCAAAGTCCAGTCTACTTGGTATTGAAAATCCATGTGTTAAAGAACGGCGGGTCCACTATAAAGAAAACATTTTCCTTGTCTTTATATTTTTCATACAACTCTGTCCAATGACATCTCACAAACTCTATACCCTCAATATATTTTTCTATGTTCTCTTTGAAAACATTTGTATAGTTAAGATATAAAACTTTTGACATAAGTGTTTCAATGTCATGAACTCTTATAGCACCACTATATAATAGTCTAGCAGATATACTATCCCAGTCAATATACTCTGCCTTTTTCAAAACCTCTCTGACAGTATTTTTCTTATCTAATGGTATACGTTCCATCTTACCTATAGGTATCTTTTCTTTTAACTCTTTCAATATTTTGTTGTGTCTGGTATATGTTTGAGACGGTTCATATAGTTGTCGAAGTCATTGCATATAATCTTTGAGTCAGGAAATATTGTATGGCACAAATGAGATATATAGAAACTTCCACCGAACAAGTCTACAAATGTTAGACCATTCGGTAGTTTCTTAAGTTCTCTCAATAGAATATCTTTACATCTACTCTTATTTCCAAAGAAGGGTAACGGTGGTTTTGTAAAATTCATTTTATATATATAATAAAAATGTTTTTTCCTGAAAAGTGACAGATGTTTATATGACACTTTCTCACCTCTTGAATTTTCATGAACTTTCTTGTCAATGTTTTGTAAAGTTCTTCATCGTAAAGACTTTGTAAAGTCTTTCTCATGAACTTTCTTGTCAATGTTTTGTTGAGACTTTGTAAAGTTCTTCATCGTAAAGACTTTGTAAATGACCCAAAAATATATTTTAGGGTAGAAGGGTATATCTACCCCGTTTTCTACCCTCTTTTCTACCCTCTTGAATTTTCATGAATTTCTTCGTAAAGACTTTGTCAAGACTTCTTCGTAAAGACTTTGTTAAGACTTCTTCGTAAAGACTTTGTTGAGACTTCTTCGTAAAGACTTTGTTGAGACTTCTTCGTAAAGACTTTGTTGAGATTTCTTCGTAAATGACCCTAGTAGTATATTTTTGGTGTAAATTTCATGAAAATTCAAGAGGGTAGAAAAGAGGGTAGAAAACGGGGTAGATATACCCTTCTACCCTAAAATATATTTTTGGTGTAAATTTCATGAAAATTCAAGAGGGTAGAAAAGAGGGTAGAAAACGGGTAGATATACCCTTCTACCCTAAAATATATTTTTGTGTAAATTTCATGAAAATTCAAGAGGGTAGAAAAGAGGGTAGAAAACGGGGTAGATATACCCTTCTACCCTAAAATATATTTTTGGTGTAAATTTCATGAAAATTCTGAGTAAAATGACAGATGTTTATATGACACTTTCTCCGGTTTATAGGACCTCTCTCATATTCTAAACATCTTCGGGGCTAGAGGGCACGAAGTGCCTGGAAGCCCCACTACCTTTTTTTTTTTTTTTTTTTTTTTTTTTTTTTTTTTTAACTATATTGTCTATTCGAATATTTTGAAGAATCAAAGTATAAATTATTCAATAAGTTCTTGCTCAGGAATTGTAGTATCAATGGCAAAATGTATGCATAAGAATGACATTTTAGTTAATAGCAATCAACAATTTTTAGGAGTTTCAAATGAAATTCCTGCGATTTTACATTAATATAATAGATATCCTGCTTTTAAAAAGGCAATTGATCATTTGTGTTATTATTAGTTTGTTTTATCTTATAGAAGTAAATCTTTATGTTTGTATTTTTTTAAATATAAAAAATTATTTCAGAAAAATCGATTATTATTTGATTATAAACCATTACACTACATAAGATAAGCATTAACAGTAATTTTACTTCACAATTTTAAACTAATATATAAAAATATCATAAGAAACTAAAATTAAAGTTCAGCAAGTTCATCAGTTTCATCAAGTTGCTCTTCTTCACCATGAGCATGCTCTTCTTCCTCTTCTCCATGCTTTTCTTGTTGAGCCATATCGTCTTTGTCTTTCATGAATCCGATGACAAGAGAAAGTGCCAAGAAAATAAGACCAAGGACGTTGAGGAAGATTTCCCACCATAAGAAACCTTTCCATTCGTGAAGAATAACAACACCGATTGTAACACCAACAATAATTTGGGCGAATGGAATAAATCCAGCGCCAACTGAACCAAGGTGAGCTACAAGATACATAAATCCGTGGACAGCCATACCAGAACCAAGAACACCAAGAAGAACTGGCCAAATCCAGCCGTAAGCAGTGCAATTGATGAATGTATCTCTGAATTTCTTCGGACCATCCATGATAAGAGACCAAATCATATCGAACCAGAACGAGAAAAATGTTTGTAACAAAGATGAGATCGTAATGTCAACATTTGGTGTGCGCCATCTGAACCATGAGGCTGCAGCACCGAAAAGAATCATAGCTAAGACAAGGAGAGCGTAACCAAGACCAACTTGGCCACCACTTGCTTTTCCATGTGTATGACGGAAACTTGGGACAGCGCCAAGTGATACACCAATGATGGCAGAGAGAAGAGCTAATCCCTTATGAAGTGTGAGCTTTTCATCAATTGGTAAAATGCAGTTTGCAATAATAGAACCAAGTGGCTGAAGAGGCTTGGAAAGCTGTACAGCGGCACTAGGAATCCATTGTTGGGCAATGTAAATTAAACTGTGTGGAATACCAAGATTGAGCAAGCCGCCGATTGCAATATTGATATAAGGCCATGGACCTGACAAAAAGTGAGCACGGCAAATCTGCTTGTAACCATCCTCAAAAATTATTCTGAATATAAGAGTGAATAAACAAAATATGAAGCCCCAAAGCATTCTTCCCATAATAAGCATTTCTGGAGTCCAATATTTAATACCTTCGGCAGCAGCAGCGGAGCTAGCACCATAAACAGTTGCACAAAAAACAAAGGATATGGCAACCCAGAGTGTGCACTGCATTTTTAATGGTCTGATATAGAAAATTCAGAAGAGATTTTCCATGCTTTCAAATTAGTGAATTCACAGTATATGGACATAATAGGGTGTACATGTTCAGAATAAAATTGGAAGTGATGAGAACAATTTTTTTTCATCGTTTTCGTTTGAAAATGAACCTCGATGCAAATTTGATATTTATGATTTTAAATATTGAACTAGAATATTATTTAATTATTAACAATTTTTGATTGCGCTCTCACAATTCCATTTTATTAATTATTCAGTTAAATACAATTATGAGAAAGAAATAAACACATAGCTTTTTAACGATATAAAAAGTGACAAAAATTAACCAAACATCGTTTTTCAATCAAAGGATCGAATTCTATAGTTTTTGAAATGCAGCGAAATTTAGGATTTATTATAATGAACTAGTGACTCGTCTGTTTCTTCGCTTCGAAAAGCTAATCGCGGTTCGGGTCAGAAATTATTTATCGATAAATTGTTTTAAAAGTATTAATTCAAAAGACTCAGTGAAGTTAAAAAAAAAAAAAAAAAAAAAAAAAAAAAAAAAAGGTAGTGGGGCTTCCAGGGGCTGCGCCCCTTCTAGCCCCGAAGATGTTTAGTATAAATGAAGTTTTTATTCGGAAAATTGTTAGTCTTCTGGTGTGAATTCGGAGGACTCTTCTTGGATAAAGTTTTGTATTTCCTCCTCCTCTTCTTCTTCCTCCATTGCTTCTGGGAAGAAGCCTTCTTCTGGGTCGAAAACATTATATAATGTGTAATTGAATGACACATTATATCTTTCTTTGCGTTCGCTCCTGACAAAGAACTTAGTTCCAGGAATACAGAAGACTTCTGTGCGTTGGAAAAGCTGATGTCCTGGAACGAATTTGGCAATTAGAGACTTCTTTTTTCCGAATTGTTCAGGAGTTTCCATGACGACAGTAACAACATCTCCATCTGCGAGGTCTTGTTGTTGTTCGGAAAGGTAAAGAGCAATGATATGAATGGTTGCTGCGTTGAATTCGAGAAAGTCGAATTCAAATTGTGTTGTCGTATAACATTCAAACCATTTTGTACAGTTGTCTCCGAACTCGTCAACGTATTCATCTTCGTCATATCCGTAACTAAAGACTTGGAATTCAGCAATTCTCTTGTCGAATGACCGTTGCATGTAACGAGGAAGATTTTGACGAACTTGGTATAAAGTTCTCAACATTATAAGCTTAGTAAATGTTGGAAAATACTGAACTAAGACATCGCTAAGCTCAATTGGATTTGGAATTGTCTTAGTAAGTTCAATTGAACTAGCAATTGCTTTGTTCAGAACTTCACAGAACTGAGTATTGTATGTAGCGTCTGGTTGTGTGTTTTCTTCGGCGTCTTTGAGATATTTAGAGCAAATTTGTTGAAGAATTTCTCTTAATTCGTTGTTAGATTTTTTTGGTGGTTATTCTAACCGCTGTGCCGGTTCTTGGAGGTTGTGGGCTTTGGCTTTGGTTAGCGGTTGAGAATTGTTAATGTTTGAATTGTGGTTAACAGCGTTGGCTTCCATTAGACAAAAATAAACTGTTTTTTCAAATAAGAGTTTGAGATGAACCGTTTTCGTCAACGGAGACCCCTCTATTTTTTTATTTTATTTAATAGTTACCGTTGGAAAACCGTTCCATCTCAAATATTGAATGAACTATAAACGTTTTTTGTTTTCTATATATACTTTTTTGTCCAACGGTAAAACTTTTTACACAACGGTTTTTGAGAGTCGTCGCTGTTGACTTTTTTGTAGAGCACTCAAAATAGTATAACTTTGTCCGGACAAGTAAGGGTCTATCGTCGCTACAGGAAAAGTTACGGGCGTTCCAAGGAAGTATACTTTGAGAAGCCTTTCCCCCTTATAGAATGAGATAGGACGGTTATTTTACAAAACCGACAACACTTTGACCGAGTAGTTTTTTGTGCTGAACAAAAAGTGTCATATAAACATCTGTCAAAAACCGCTTTTTAACTTCACTTAAAATGCCACGTAAGCTACGTAAGAATATACGTAAGAGGAAGAGAGCATTGAAACATCCAATAGTAAGACTAACACCACAACAACAGTTGCAACAACAAATGCTGAATGACCCCACTATGTTGCAACAAATGTCAAGCAATCCTATGCTTTTAAACCGAGTTGTTGGTGCACAGAGTGGAGGTTTAAGAGCGGCACTTTTAGCGAAAATGGCAGGCTATGGTGGAGCTGCAGACGGAACAGCCTATAACCCTCAAAGTCAAATGAATTTGAGTTCACTCAAAAATCAAATAACAGATGTCAAAAAGTCAAACATAGACATACAGAAGCAAATAAGTGAAAACGAAAAGAAACTAGAATATGACAGACACACAAAGAAACTAAATGAGTTAAACGTAGAGAAAAAGAAGAAAGAAGAACAACTGAAAGAACTAAGTACAGAGGAATATGCAAAAAAAGTGTCAGAAAAAGCAGCAGAAGTAGCAAAAATGGAACAAGATGTCATAAATTTGAAAAACCATACTACTCGATATAAAGTACTGAAAGATGAAGAGATAAAACAAAAAGCCCTGAAGACATATATGGATAGCGATGAGTATAAAAAGGAAGTTGAAGCAAATGTAAAGGCAGAAAAACTTTTACAGTTGCAAAACCAAACCGTACAGTATGAAAACTTAGCACAAGAAAGTAAAAAATAACGACGCAGCCATGCAAAAGGCAATGAAAAGCGCAGAATATATAAAAGCTAACAATGACTGGTTAGATGCCCAAGCCAACGCTAAAGCAGCCCAACTTATAGGGTCAATAAGGACAAAAATACAAGCGGATGAAGACAGTTCAAATGAAGCTTTAATGAATGCTGACTTTAAGAACGCCTTCGAAGCTCTTCATAGTAAGGTGAAACTAGTGAACGACTTCTCATCTGGAAAGAAACTGAAGTCTGAAGGTTTCGACAAAGAGTTAAAAGAAGTAGCACAAAATATGACGAAAATAACAGATGCAGCAACGAGACAGGCAGTTCAAAGTGCCTATGACGCCGTTAGAGCAACTGTTGTGGAAAGTCAAGAAAAAGAGTTACAACAGACCAAAACAGACCTAGTAAATGCTTTCTTAAAAACGAAAAGTCAGGTAGGACATTATGCTGCAGATGGAACATATGTGCCAGCTGGTGGAACTTATATACCACCAAACCCTCCAAGAGAAGCACCTGCACCAGGACTACCTAAAACATTTACATCGTCACATGGACACAGACACAGGCATGCACCAAAACCAACACAACAACCACCTCCACAACCAGCACAACAACCAACAGTTCAAAACCCTGCACAACAACCACCTCCACAACCAGCACAGCAACCACAAACAGAGCAAGGACATAAAAGAAGTAGAGAACAAGGAAACCAAGAATTCTTAAAAATGCTTAAAGAAGAGTGTGGTTTCCCAGATACTGTTGACTTTAGTGACAGATATAAAGAAGCTATTGGAAAGTTCAAGGATGGAAATACTGACCCGAACCTATTTAGCTTTATGGCTCAGCACCAAAACGGATATAATCTCAAACCTGGAAAATACAAGCTCGCTAAGGGATATGATTTAATAGCATATCATCCAAATGACATGGATGAATTTACTCCGAGATATTTGATGTCAGAGCTAAATGACAATTCAACTTTCGTCATGAAACGCGTAAAAAATAGAGACGGAACGAAAGAACAAAAGCTTATGAATGCGGATGACGTAGATAGGGAAATTGTTGAAAACGGTCTCGGAATATATGAAATGCCAGCAGATGAGGTACAAGAAACTCCACAGGAAGAAGTTCAGATACAACCAGACATGGAAGAAATAGTTCAGCAACAACAGCTAGAAGAGCCTGAAGGAAACGAACAAGTCCTTCCTTTGGAAACTAACTTCACAGAACTAGATGAAGATTTGGAACAGCCGAAAAATCTTGACCCTCAACAAGAGCATGAGGTGAATATGGAATCTTTCAAGAGTCTAAGAAAGATTCGGCTGACATAGTAGAAGAATATCGAAAAATGTTTGCCGACATACAAAAGACTCCAACACCAGATGAAAATATTCAGCATAGAATGAAAGTACTGAAAAAAAATGTACACAAATACAACAAACCCTTTTTACTTACGAGCATTTAACGTTCAATCTTCGGATGAACTCGGTGAAAATAAAAAGGTTAAATTTCAAGAAAACATATAGAAATGAAACATTGTTTAAAGTTCATTCAGAACCTAACCAAGATGGAAACAAACCTACTTTTGTTTCTGCAGACGATGGAACTACAATGAGATGGGGTCATAAAGCTAACCCGGATAGGTGGTTCATAAACTTACAACCACAATTCCAAGAAGTTGTAGACGCAATGGAAGTCAATGGTGAACAAGATATAGCTGGTATTTTAAGCGCGGCTTTAATGCCATTGAAAGATATGAAACATGCAGATATTTTGGACCAGTATGAAATGAACATGGCTGATGGAAATATAACACCTGACGTTCTAGAACATTTATCTCAAAGAACTACACAGAACCATAAAGATGGTATATTTGGTGAAGAGTTTAGAAAGAAAGTTAGGGAGAGAGAAGGAAGAGAACCTATTGTACATGACCTTGCAAACGAAAGTTTAAAAAATGTCATAAAAACTTACTTTGCAGACGATGAATCGAGAAGGGATGAATATTTAAGAAAACTCAAATGGACAGTACCAAATGAAATGTTAGTATTGAAAAACATGTTCCTTGACAAAATAAAACCAACTACAGAAATAAACGACGCAAGACTGAAAGATTGGGTAAAAGCTTTCCCATTCACAAAAGATATAGTTGGTAACATGGAAAGAAAACCAGAATGGCTACAAAAAACATATATTTGGAAACGAGCTTATTCCATATGGACAGGCACTGTTTGAAGCGCTTGAACCGGAAACTCAGGAAAGAGTCATGCAAACAATACGCGAAGACTCAAATACAGACTATGACAAACTCTT